TAGAATGGTGATGGTGCCACTCGTACCACGATGACACTCGCTGTTCAAATAATAATTCTGTGTTGGATCTGGAAAATAAAGAACGAGGCTGAGTGGATTGGAGAATTGTGGTCGATCACCGATGCTCAATTGGCGGTGATAGTCACAAGTACGTGAATAATTATTAATAATAATAATAATAATAATAATAAATAATTGAATAAGCAAAATAAGTAAGTGAGTAGAATTATCTGTTACCTATTGCAATTTACTATTATCTACATTAAACCACTCATTTCCATCAAGTGTAAGTAGCTGAAGTTCAATAACAGAAATGAAAACCGAAAGAAATTCACAAGAAACGAGAACATTGAAATCATTCATCCAACCATCTATGATCACAACAATGATGAGAATAACAATGAAGTGAGTGTTGCATCTGACTTTAGCTTCTTCTTCTTCTTCTCTCAATCTTTATATTTTTCGGTTGCTTTCAATTTATATCAATTCAATAATGATTGTAATGTGTTCATTTTCAATGTTACATCATGACAATCAACTACTAGATCGTCTTGTTCATCTTGTTGAGTTGAATTGATTTGATTTAATTGATAGCACTATTCTTGTTGTTGTAGTTGTTGTCGACGAAGATGAAGATGATGATGATGATGATGATGATGATGTTGTTGTTGTTGTTGTTCATCTTCTTCTAATAGATGTTTGCTATTTGTATTTGTTTCAGACAATCAGTAGAATGGTGATGGTGCCACTCATACCACGATGACACTCGCTGTTCAAATAATAATTCTGTGTTGGATCTGGAAAATAAAGAACGAGGCTGAGTGGATTGGAGAATTGTGGTCGATCACCGATGCTCAATTGGCGGTGATAGTCACAAGTACGTGAATAATTATTAATAATAATAATAATAATAATAAATAATTGAATAAGCAAAATAAGTAAGTGAGTAGAATTATCTGTTACCTATTGCAATTTACTATTATCTACATTAAACCACTCATTTCCATCAAGTGTAAGTAGCTGAAGTTCAATAACAGAAATGAAAACCGAAAGAAATTCACAAGAAACGAGAACATTGAAATCATTCATCCAACCATCTATAATCACAACAATGATGAGAATAACAATGAAGTGAGTGTTGCATCTGACTTTAGCTTCTTCTTCTTCTTCTCTCAATCTTTATATTTTTCGGTTGCTTTCAATTTATATCAATTCAATAATGATTGTAATGTGTTCATTTTCAATGTTACATCATGACAATCAACTACTAGATCGTCTTGTTCATCTTGTTGAGTTGAATTGATTTGATTTAATTGATAGCACTATTCTTGTTGTTGTAGTTGTTGTCGATGAAGATGAAGATGATGATGATGATGATGATGTGTGTTGTTGTTGTTGTTCATCTTCTTCTAATAGATGTTTGCTATTTGTATTTGTTTCAGACAATCAGTAGAATGGTGATGGTGCCACTCGTACCACGATGACACTCGCTGTTCAAATAATAATTCTGTGTTGGATCTGGAAAATAAAGAACGAGGCTGAGTGGATTGGAGAATTGTGGTCGATCACCGATGCTCAATTGGCGGTGATAGTCACAAGTACGTGAATAATTATTAATAATAATAATAATAATAATAAATAATTGAATAAGCAAAATAAGTAAGTGAGTAGAATTATCTGTTACCTATTGCAATTTACTATTATCTACATAAAACCACTCATTTCCATCAAGTGTAAGTAGCTGAAGTTCAATAACAGAAATGAAAACCGAAAGAAATTCACAAGAAACGAGAACATTGAAATCATTCATCCAACCATCTATAATCACAACAATGATGAGAATAACAATGAAGTGAGTGTTGCATCTGACTTTAGCTTCTTCTTCTTCTCTCAATCTTTATATTTTTCGGTTGCTTTCAATTTATATCAATTCAATAATGATTGTAATGTGTTCATTTTCAATGTTACATCATGACAATCAACTACTAGATCGTCTTGTTCATCTTGTTGAGTTGAATTGATTTGATTTAATTGATAGCACTATTCTTGTTGTTGTAGTTGTTGTCGATGAAGATGAAGATGATGATGATGATGATGATGATGATGTTGTTGTTGTTGTTGTTCATCTTCTTCTAATAGATGTTTGCTATTTGTATTTGTTTCAGACAATCAGTAGAATGGTGATGGTGCCACTCATACCACGATGACACTCGCTGTTGCCGAAGCAGCAGGCCAGTCGAACTGCCCTTCGAAAAATTCTGCCCATCGTACAAGACGTCGATAGATGTTAGTGATTGGCATCCCTTCATCTTTACAGGTTGTTTGGCTCACACCAAACCTCTTGACGCCGGTGAATCGGATGAGTTGAAAGAACATCCGGCAGTTACCAGATGCAACTGCTGCTTCAAACTCATTGACACACTCCGACCACTAGGCTTCTTGGTTCTTACGCAAGTTTTGCACAATTTCATTGTGTAACAGTATTCATTTGTGAACAAATTCGTGGTCACCCGGAGTAGACCGACTAGTTCAACAAGCTGTAAGGAGCCTAAAAAAACCCAGTGCTTATAAGCGGGACGTTTCGCGAACCCACAACTGACTGTACCCGTCATTTTGATGGCGTCATGCAATTGCAACCAATGCTCATCTATACTTTTCGGTGGAATGGTAGCTAGCCTAGAAACTAGCTCGGCTCGGTACTTACCTACAACAGAAGTTACAACCAACTTGCTGACATCAATCCTTTGGTGGCGATCATTTGGTTGGCCACTGAAAAGTAAGGTAAGATTGGCGCAGACCAAGGCATGTTCAGAGTCCAGATAGGTACTCCAAAAGGAGCGGCAGTCTTGTACACAACCACGCCAGCGGTAGTTGATCGCGATGTGATCAATCTGAGTCCAGGCTTGAGATGCAGAAGGAGGACGCCAGGTGGCACATCGTCGATGACTGTGCCGAAAGTTAGTGCTAGCCAGAAACAGGTTGTGGTCTGTGCACAGTTGCAGTAGACGGTACCCGTTATCTGTCCTGCGACTAACAAGTCCCCATCGGCCACCTAAACGACTCTCTTCTGTGCCTAGACGCCCGACCTGAGCATTCATGTCTCCGGCTAGTACTACAATATCTGTCGAACTCTCTTTCTGGAGAAGAACAGGTAACTGGTGGTAAAACTCATCCTTGATTGCATCCGGGCTGCAATCTGTCGGGGCATAGGCGGAGATGACGAAAAGACATGGTTTCTCACGCCGATTTCTCCTCACTTTGATGGAACTCTCTAATCTTACAGCACATAACCGACTGTTAATGGGGATCCGATACTGATTTGAAGGAGATAGCAATAAAGATTGTTCTCAAAGGATTTTGCTTTTAGTGGACTAACATAGGCCTTAGGTCACAGATTATTGATCACGTTGCAGAGATATACTTAACCAGAGATCGGAGAACTTCTGAAAAGCCTAAGAAATCTACCAGTCGAAAATTGAGTTTCCACTAAACCTAATATGTACCTTCATAATTTTTCTGGTACGGAATTAAACAAAGGGAAACTTGGAGTTTTAGCCCTAGGCTTAAAGTTTTATGGTACACACAACGGAAATTCAGTTTTAAGACTTTTCAGACATCAGATCTAGTTCCGACCTCCGATTAAAAAATTGAACGTTCTGAATCAAATCTCGATTGTTGCTATAAGTTTAAAAACAGTGAGTATAACTAAGAAACCATTTTAGTAAAAAAAAAAACACATGAGGGCTATCGATGAACTCATTAAGGAGGAAAATCTTATTATTAAAAGGCCGGGTGAAGGAACAGGAACTGTCTTAGCTAAAAACTGTATTGACAAGTCTAACATCTTGACTGATCACTTAAAATCCTAAAAACTGAATGACCACAAATACATCAGTAATAAGATAGAAAATAAACATACCAGATCTGTGAAAAAGTTCAAATGACAGCATAACTTCACCACGTGCATACGAACCAGTTAAGCCGATAAGCACTCATTCACTTAAGTTATATGGATTACCGAAGGTACGTATACCAAATATCCCATTGTAACCAATTCTGGACATGTACGATTCCCCTCATCATACTTTAGTAAAGCTATTAGTAACCATTTTAAAGCCACTCCATAAATATCTAATGAATGATGTATTCTAGTTCGTCGACAAGATCAAAAACAAACTAAAGAACAAAAGATAATGTCCTTTGACGTAGCATGATTGTATACAAATGTTTCACTCATGAAAACAGTCGAATATATCTGTGAACAACTTAGAGAACTAGAACTAGAAACTAAAATCCATTTGGGCATCGTTAAGGAAATATTACTAAACTGTAATATGAACGTAAACTTCAAATTCAATGGTGAAATCTATGGCCGAATAGATATTGTCACACTAGGTTCACTACTAGGTCCCGTACTGGCTGACATTTTTCTCACTATACTAGAAAACAGTACACTGGCACGGCTTATTGGCAAGTGCTCATTTTCCTGCCGACATATGGATGATACGTTGTAAAGACCATACTAACCGGGTATAGGGGGAAGTAGCGTTCAAACAGGCTTCTACCCTAGAAATTTTAAGTGTGACGAGCAATAACACATCAAGAATATTCGTTATTTGTGTAAAGGTTATTCAGTGTGTGTTAGCGGGGCGTAGAGTGGATTAAATCATGCTTGATGCACGCTTGCTTTGGCGCACGCTGATTATCTAATTCCTATCCAATCAGCGCTAGTCGATACTTGGAGAACACTAAGATCCTCTTATGTAAAAACTATAAACATACTAACGTTTCTCCTATTGTGCTTCTTACTTCCATCTAAATTTGTTATTTGGAATATAATCTGTTCAACCGTGTTCTGATTTGGGGACTTGTCGAGTGAATTGGTGTCCAAGAATACTAAGCAATAGGAATATTTGGGTCGTAATAAGAGAGAATTATAACAGTATGTTTATCGGTATTACTCGTTTATTTTACTTATTCTCATAGTTGGGATACATGGTATGTCATATGAAATCTTACGTCGTCGTGCTTTGCAGTATGCTCGTGAAGTCAAGTATAGTCTTGTTCAACTTGATAATGTGGGTGTGAAAATAAAAACTATTGAAAACTACTCTTTAATCAAACCGTTAGAAGAAGTGCAAGTCTCACTGGAGCGATTAAAAAGTCAGTTACAAGATATTTCATTACACTTGCACGTTGATATTGATGGAATTGGACGAGTTGACGGTGTGTTGGAATCACGAATGAATTATCTGGAATATTTATCAAATGAACTTCAAAGTGAATTATTCCAATTGCAGGTTGGTTGCACGTTAAATAATATTGTGTCTTATTATTTTGAGCTTTATAACAACTTCATAACGGTGACATTAGGCTGTTTTACCTATGGTGATTATATTAGGACTACGAAATTATACTTACCCTTAATTAATGGAGTGTGATTTGAAAATGTGACGTAATGTCTGAACTAACTAACTACAACTCTGCACATTTCAAAACTAATGCCCTGTTCATATTGAACTCGTTAGCAGCATACGACAATCACTACCTTTTGTTGTTGGAAATTGTGGGTGCTCCTAGCCTTCCATAACCTTCCCCTAAATAAATGTGTGGAAATTGACAGCAGATAACCTTGGAAACCTAAAACCATACTTCTAAATTCCACAATGCAGAATTGTATTTTATTCTGTTTCTTTTGTACAGGTTGTTTAAAGACACTATTTGTTTCTCAGTATTCATATTTAATAGATAACATACCACTCGTGAATTAAGTAGGATTATTTTATTCATCTACAACTTTATTTTCTCAACCGTAGGCTCGTTTTTTTGAATGGGATGTTAATCGATTTGCGACCTTATAAGTACATAAGTTATTTCGGATGTGTTAATAGGTACACAAAATTTTCTGTTTTGTTTCGTCTTTAATTGACCAATTTTTCTGAGCCGAATATATTTTTGCGACCTATTACTTTTTGGTGTTACGCAAATTGTAAACCATAGAATAGGATAGTTAGCAGAGATTAACAAGGTAAGGAACCATAAATCATGAGTTAAAAGTCTCTAGTTCAACTAAAAAATATGAAGAATAGATGGAAACAAGTCCAGAAAAGAAATTGAATAAACATATCTATTCACAGCCTCAATGAACTGATGAATATTCCAAATAGCAAGTCAGAAGCCAGTAGGAAGCACAATAGGGGAAAACGTCGGTATATTTATAGTTTTTACATAAGAAGAATCCAGAATATTCTCCAACTATCGACTAGCGCTGATTGGATAAGAATTAGCCAATCAGCGTGCACCAAAGCAATCATGCATTGAGCATGCTTTAGTCTAGTCTATGTCCCGCTAACACCTCCCCTCTGAGCAGATTCGTAGGATCTGGTGCTAGGGTCCAACTGCAACTGAGTGACTGGCTTGTGCTTTCGATTAGTCCATCGTCTCTCCTCCTCCTCGAAATAATGTTGGGTCCTTATGGCTCCAAATTATAACTAGTAGGACTTTATTTAAACCATGTTTCTCGTATTGACTGGAGAATCCACTAAAAATGACTAGATGATGATGAACAACCTTTGATCTGAGTTCATTATTTTCAAATTCATTATGAATCTCGTTAGCTGATAACGAGTCATTAAGAAAGTCAACGTCTAACAGAATTAGATTAGATTTTTGGCCATCATTCGACTCAGCTGACATATTTCCCTCATTGTTATAAGAAGGTTCATCAAAATCATATGCATTATTCTGAGAATCAATATCTGGTACACTGTCATTAGAAATGGGATAAGTTGACTCAATATAAAATTCTGTCTTCCGGTGATTTTGAGTAACATCTGGTACAATTTGGTTCATTGTGTTGCTCCAGTTATTTTCTGAATACGAGTCACCATAGCTTTCTTGACTAATAGCACGTGGACCACAATTTTGTTCGAGCTGACGTTTATTTTCGCAGCTAGACAGTACCAGTAGTGTTTCATTTGATTCTGGACTCCGGGCTTCATCTACAGGACCTGGCTCCTGATCATCTGGTATTGTCACAACTTCATGTGCATTCAGCACAGTATTTTCTTGCTGTATGTTGTAGATCTATCAGTTTACTTTTTTCATTTGTATAGTGCATGTCATCAGTATTCAATTTCCGTATTCTTATTTTTAAGATGCTATTAATCTTGTCTCATTAGATGAAAAATGTTGACTGTCAAGACCCTCACCTTTGAATCCTTCTGTTATTCTAATCACCCAGCCTTATTAGGGTGTTCCTTGAAAATTGATCGGTGGTTTATTGACTTTAGCTCCTGAATTTCATTTGTTGGGGACTGATGAAATCTCGGAATACATTGAGAAAGCTTGCTTAGCTTTTGCGAATTTGCGTAGGAAAGGTGACCGTCTTTCAACCGTGGAGGAGGATACACTGCTCATCACTCCGCTCTTACTTTATAGCTTTGGGACTTGGACTAAAAGGCTAGGAGACAATCAATGTGATCATAAGTGACGTCAAAGCATCGGTTGCGTATCGTAAGCAATGCCTACATTATGCGTCAAGTACTGGGCAGTTATATCAAGTTGGTTGATAGTTCTGTGAATTTTTATCGACTGAAGGGGTTAAAAAGTATAATCTACTTACTGCTTTCCTCGCTGTTCACTGATGGCTGTGATAGGAGTTAGCAAAGAAAAGCTAGAAGCGGTCAACCCAAAATATAGTATCAGTCTCTATAATCATTTACTGTTTTTTGGGCACTTTTTCATAGATCCAGGTTACCTGGTTGGGGTTCAAGTGATTAATAATTAATGTAAATAAATAGTATATTTGTAATATCCCAATGAATGGAAAAATTAGATTTTCTATTCATTGGGATATTACAAATATACTATTTATTTATAACAATCTGCCCAATGCTCAGTTTATTCGAAATTATCAAATCAAACCTTGGTAATGATACCTATAATAATTAATGGTTTGGCATGTCATGTCTCAGAACTGCTAGGGGTGATTCAGATACACTTAATGTTTATTTTACTCTATATTTTGGCTTCATATATTCCTTTATACGTAACTCATTTCGATTCATTCAATTCCAGCCGCGTTTTCAGTATTTAGTACTTTTCACCATCAATGATACTATCATTGAAGAGGAAGGTTGATTATGAATACAGTGGTCTTGGGTGCTGTTAGAGGTATGAGGGCGGTTATCACTTCCCGGTTGCCCATACCGAGGAAGGGTTCTTCTGGAGGTACCTGGAAAGGAAATAGGGCTAGGGTTTGTATAAGTAACCAGAGAGCGTGACCGCAGTGCCCAAGGGACAACTGTTTGAGGTCGGTCACACACGACCTTCTTAAGAGTAATTTTTGTGTTAGCTCCGTACTTGTTGAGACCTTACCGCCGGAGACGGATATCCGTGGGATAAGGCGAGGTGTGCATTTTTAGGGTCGACCTTTTCTAACTCCACCCCTCCTTGTGGGAAGGCAGCATCACTGTCATGCTGGTTGTCTGGAGGAAACACCTTACTGCTGTCACACCTCTGTACAGTCAGCAGTACGACTCCGCCTTCGGACCTTGGGTTTGTTGCATTTAGTCTTACCGCTCTTCAACCGACCTGTCTGACATGGTAGGACCTTGAGGAACGGTTGTTCCATCCAGTATAGCTCGGTTGCTTCATCACGATAGACAAGCCCGACCACCACGTCAAGGTAGCAACAAACAACGGTCGGGAGCAACAACGGTCATTAAGAGTAGAAGACACTTGTAAGCTACTAGTATTTGACCACAGATGTCTTAGAAATATTTCTGGCGTCTGCTGGGATCACCGGGTAAGTAATAGTGAGGTTAGACGCAGGGTATTAGGGAATGATGGTTAATCAGTTGATGAGGCTATGAATCTTCATCGTCTGAGATGGTTGGGCCACGTGTTACGTATGCCTGAATACCGATTACCACGACGTGCAATGCTATCCGGTATTGGAGATGGTTGGAAGAAAGTTAGGGGCGGCCAAACCAAAACGTGGCATCAGTGCTTGAAGTCATTAACTTCTAGTCTGGGCCATGTTGGTAGATGCAGACTACTTGGTTGGGGTCCGCGTGACTATCGTAACGAATGGTTGGAGACTCTTGGTGACATGGCTCAGAATCGATCACAATGGCGTCGGTGTATACACTTTCTGTCTTCCCTTAAACTGAGAGATTAAAATCGCTTCATACCTTTCTTTTTACGAACCAATTTTTTCTTCTTGTACTATATCTCTATATGCAATCTTTCTCTTATATATTACCACCTTTGACCTAACCACTGCTATGAATCCGGTGTTCATCTTGTTGTGCTGATGCGGTATGGCAACCTGGACCGATGCACATATGTGCCGGGTCCTACGTTGTAGCTGACTGATACTATCATTACTTCGTCCTTTTTGCTATTCAGCTTATTACTTTCGTTTGTCAATCAGTCAATCATATGCAACATAAAGCCTCACATGCATATACATCGACCCAAGTTGTTCCACCACATTAGCACAGCGAAATGGAATTATCAACGCGAATCGCAGAACAGTGAAAGTATTTGTTGTGATGAGCGGTGTCCAAAATCTGATACTGATACACGGTGTGCTATGTTTATCATTTTATTTATTTATTTAAACATAAAGATTGGTACAAGGAGGCACCAAATATATTTGCATCACACAAATTATTCGATCTGTGAGAGGGCTGGAATACTGCCTGGACGCCCAGTCCGAAGCAGGTGGCTTCCTTAGAGGGACACACCCCAAGACATTTAAATAAAGGTCTAATCCACAGGGCAGTGGAGCAACGTCAGTAGATACAGTCCCACGGTAGCTAGTGACCATTTGGCTCATACGCCATTTGTTCCTACAGGATCCTAGAGCCCATGTGCACCATTGGTTTTGAATCAGGGTTTTCCAACTCCTCTAGGTTGATCCTCCGTGTCCAGCAACCCGATTGAGAGCACCGGACATTTTCTTTTCGTCCTCTCAATTTCATAAACAACAGTGATGCCGCGCGAAGGCAATGAGTAGTACTTCACTGTCAATGTCTGTATACGCCTGGTCATTTCGTGAGGGAGAGAGGACTCTTCATTCGGGGCGCTAACCCCCCAACTAACCACTTGAGTGAGGGCACAAGAGTGAGCGAGAAAGTGTATCGGGCTACCGAATAAAATGCACAAATACTCACTCATATATATTTACCACTCTAATATTTATGAAATTGATCCATTTCCTAGGCAATGAAGTGCACTTGTCGTTTAGGTCACTTCTGATTGCCATTGATTGACCTTCTCATTAGGCTACTACTGATTGGCTCTCTATACCAGTATTAACAGTATCAGTTGTAGTTGTAGTAGGAAAAAATAAGTATAATAACAGAAAAGGAGTAGAAGAAGATTTCGGGATTCAGAGTCTAAGATGAAACTAAAAGTGAATATATCTTTACTGGATGTATCATATTATCATTGGCACTATAAATAATAATCGCTAGGCCCAGCCAAACCTAAACGTGATATCAGTCCATGAAGTCACTAACTATTGTACTGAGCCATGTAGGTAGGTGCAGAATACCTGGTTGAGGTCCACATGATAACCGCGATCAGTGTTTAGAGATGTTGAATACCATAACACAGAATCAATCGCAAAAGCAAAGTATGGTAGATTTGAATTTGTATTTCACTGCTAGAAAATTCTGTACAATAATCTATGATTTATATACTAATATATTTAATTAATTAACGAGAGTTTATTTATATTCTACTTCGTTTATTTTGTAATTGTTTTGTTTACAGAATCCCTCAAGTTGTACAAAAGCTAAATATGTGGTTGCCTCGTTAAATAAACCTTGTGCATTCGGTTGTAATGCCCATCATTTAATGCATTGTTTTCAAATGGCCTATGCAACTGGGCGTACATTAATCTTGAATCCTACTGATGGGGAGGAATACACACACTGGTGGATAAAAAACTTTTTGCCATTATCTCAGAAATGCAGTATAAATGACATTCAGTCAAATATCCATTCTGATTGTAAGCTTTCTTTAAAAAATATTTATAGTTCCAGTGTAATCTTGCCGTTCTTCATTTATCTTAAGAATTATGCTAGTGTGATGTGGTGCGATAATATCCATTTTGTTTGATATCAATACACAAAAGATTTGTTTCTACAAATAACTTATCTGTTTACAAATGACATTTCTTATGACTTACTTAGGCCTGCTATGCCTCTTGAGTTCTAGGCTTCTGAAAGAGATCTCTAAAGTTCTCTTTCATATAGTCTCTTACTCAGTTGTTCCGAAGTCGTATTGATGATTTTAGTGTCTCCTTCCAGTTACCAGTGCCCCCAAATGCCCTGGTATGGCCGAGAGTGGGGTGGGCCTACCCTCCCTCTCGAAATGCTCTCACACGGCCACGCGTATACAGCCTCTGCTAGGGAAGTCCTTCTCACTACCTTCTCGTGGCGAGGGTGTTGTTTACGAAAATGAGAGGACGAAAGGCGAATATACGGCGCTTCAACCGGATTCCAAACCAATGGTGCACATGGGCTTCAGTATCCTGCGGGGACAAATGGCGTATGAACCAATCGTTGGTCACCGGCTACCATGGGACTGCATCTCCTCACGATGCTCCACTGCCTTTTGGATTAGACCTTTAGGTTAAAAGCTCGGGGAGTGGCCCCCTAAGAAAACCACCTGATTCGGTCTTAGCACCCGGGCAGTATCCCAACCCTCGCACAAATCGAATGATTTATGTGGCTCATATATATTTGGTGCCTCCTTGTACCAATGTTTATGTGTTTAAATAAATAATAAATACAGTTACCAGTGCCATATATTCTTTGGTCTGCTTAATCCCCTTTATCTTTTTTTAATCTGACCATCCATTGGATTTTTGATTCGGTTCAACAACAATGTTGATAACCTTTTCTGGTACTGAAAGTGGTATGTTACTTCGATGGTTTTCACACTTATTAAAACCTTTTTTGTTTGTTATCTTAATAAGGTTTTCCTTTTTCCATTCTTTCTGTACTTGTTCTCCTTCCTAGATCTTTCAGCAGAGAATATAAAATATTCTTGGGGTTAGCTCTACATCTACCGGGTTCTCCATAATGTTATCCAGTGAAACTCAAGTAGTTTTGTGCATTGATTTACGGGGGTAAATGCTTCTACCTAGGACCATGTTGTCGAAGTGCAGAAATTCACTATTGTCTCATTCTCTTTTCTTTCCTTCAGTCCATGTCGCCTCATGATGTCTTGATGCCCGTCGTTGTCTACTCTGTCTTTAATGATTAGGTCTCCCGTCTGGATGGTCAGGTCTTTTCTTGGTAAACTGAAGCCTCATGAAATTGGCTTTTATTATTTTTGCTGCCACCATTGGTATTGTTAAGTGTGAAGTAGTACTGGGAGACATTCATTGTGATCTTTTCATTCTTCGTTTTGAAGGACAGTTTGATGATCCTAAAGCCATGAGTCTCTTATTCTATAAGCGCTTTTAGTGTTTCTTTAGAGGTGTTTAGTGCCAAATATTTTTATTTGATTTATTACTTATGACCAGACTGCAGAACTCCGCCTGGAGCCCCTCCGGGGGCTACTGCCGGTTTCAAGCCCGGATAAAGGAGGAGGGTTGGGCATGGGGTTAGCGTCCCCATCCCGTAGAAAACTAACTCGCTAAAAAAACGCTAACCAGAAAAAATTATTCAAACCTTTTAAACTCTGCCCTGGGAGTCAGAAGGTCTTCATTTAGAAGAATTATGACGCCTCATGATGAAAGCCGAATTCCTTCGGAAGTTACGAGGCCGATGCCCCTTCTGACAACCAGAGCGACCATTTATTTAGGTACATGGAATGTTCGTACAATGTGGGACACCGGAAGAGCCTTCCAAACAAGCGCAAAATGCGCTTATAGGATGGGAATCTCATGGACCAAGGATCATCAAAGCCTCGTTCAAAACAAAGAAAGAGGGGATTTCAATGAACATCATCCAATGCTATGCGCCTACCAACGACGACAATAAAGACGCTAAAGATCAATTCTACAATAGGCTGCAGTCAATCGTCGAGAAGTGCCCAACAAAGGACCTGACCATTTTGATGGGAGATTTCAACGCCAAGGTTGGAACGGACAACACTGGATATGAAGACATCATGGGACGACACGAACTGGGAGAAAGAAACGAAAATGGCGAGAGATTTGCAAATCTATGTGCCTTCAATAAGCTGGTCATAGGCGGCACCATATTCCCATATAAACGCATACACAAAACCACATGGACTTCACCGGATCACTCTACACAAAACCAAATCGACCATATTTGCATCAACAAAACGTTCAGGAGGACTATAGAGGACGTGAGAATCAAAACAGGAGCTGATATAGCATCAGATCATCACTTGCTGGTCGCCAAGATGAAATTGAAACTCAAGAAACACTGGACAACGGGGCGGACAATATCACAAAAGTTCAATACGGCCTTTCTTCAGGATACTAACAAACTCAACAAATTCAAGATAGTCCTCAGCAACAAGTTCCAGGCCTTTCATGATCTACTCAATGGAGAAGGAACTACTGTGGAGAGCAACTGGAAGGGGATCAAAGAGGCAATCACTTCAATATGTCATGAGGTCCTGGGTCACAAGAAGCACCATCACAAAGAATGGATCACTGTTGATACACTGGATAAGATTCAAGAAAGAAGGAACAAGAAGGCAGCAATCAATACCAGTCGAACAAGAGCAGAAAAAGCCAAGGCACAAGCTGAATACACAGAAGTAAACAAACAAGTGAAGAGGAACATCAGAACCGACAAACGTAAATATGTGGAAGATTTAGCAACGGCGGCGGAAAAGGCTGCAAGAGAAGGAAACATGTGACAATTGTATGACACGACAAAGAAACTCTCTGGAAATCGCCGCAAACCAGAACGACCAGTGAAAAGCAAGGAAGGCGAGGTAATCACCAACATTGAAGAGCAACAAAACAGGTGGGTAGAACACTTCAAAGAACTCTTGAATCGACCAGCTCCACTGAACCCACCCAACATCGAAGCAGCACCCACGGACCTCCCAATCAATGTTGGCCCACCAACAATTGAAGAAATCAGCATGGCTATCAGACAAATCAAGAGTGGCAAAGCAGCAGGACCGGACAACATCCCAGCAGAGGCACTAAAGGCAGACGTAGCGGCAGCTGCAAGGATACTCCACATTCTCTTCAATAAGATTTGGGATAAGGAACAAGTACCAACAGACTGGAAAGAAGGACTTCTGATCAAAATACCAAAGAAAGGAGATCTCAGCAAGTGTGATAACTACAGGGGCATCACTCTTCTCTCAATACCGGGAAAAGTCTTCAACAGGGTATTGTTAAACGGTATGAAGGACTGCGTAGACGCCCAACTTCGTGACCAACAGACAGGATTCCGTAAGGATAGATCGTGTACAGACCAAATCGCAACTCTACGGATCATTGTGGAACAATCAATTGAATGGAATTCATCACTCTACATCAACTTCATTGACTACGAAAAGGCATTTGATAGCGTGGACAGAACAACACTATGGAAAATTCTTCGACACTACGGCATACCTCAGAAGATAGTCAATATCATACAGAACTCATATGATGGATTACACTGCAAAATCGTGCATGGAGGACAGTTGACAAAGTCGTTCGAAGTGAAGACCGGTGTTAGGCAAGGTTGCTTACTCTCACCCTTTCTCTTTCTCCTGGTGATCGACTGGATCATGAAGACATCAACGTCTGAAGGGAAGCGCGGGATACAATGGACATCTAAGATGCATTTGGATGATCTAGACTTCGCAGACGATCTGGCCCTTCTATCCCAAACGCAACAACAGATGCAGGAGAAGACGAACAGTGTGGCAGCAGCCTCAGCAGTAGTAGGTCTCAATATACACAAAGGGAAAAGCAGGATTCTTCGATACAACACAGAATGCACCAATCCAATCACACTTGACGGAGAAGATTTGGAAGATGTAAAAACCTTTACGTATTTGGGCAGCATCATTGATGAACAGGGTGGATCTGATGCAGATGTGAAGGCGCGGATCGGCAAAGCAAGAGCAGCATATTTACAACTGAAGAACATCTGGAGCTCAAAGCAACTGTCAACCAACACCAAGGTCAGGATTTTCAATACAAATGTCAAGACAGTTCTACTGTATGGGGCGGAAACCTGGAGAACTACGAAAGCCATCATCCAGAAAATACAGGTGTTTATTAACAATTGTCTACGCAAAATACTTCAGATCCATTGGCCGGACACTATTAGCAACAACGTACTGTAGAAGAGAACAAACCAGATCCCAGTGGAGGAAGAAATCAGGAAGAAGCTCTGGAGGTGGATAGGACACACATTGAGGAAAGCACCCAACTGCGTCACAAGACAAGCCCTCACATGGAATCCTGAAGGTCAAAGGAAAAGAGGAAGACCAAAGAACACATTACGCCGAGAAATGGAGATAGACATGAGGAAAATGAACAAGAATTGGATGGAACTAGGACAGAAGGCCCAGGACAGAGTGGGTTGGAGAATGCTGGTCAGCGGCCTATGCTCCATTGGGAGTAACAGGCGTAAGTAAGTAAGTAAGTAAGACTGCAGAATCTCTCTTGAAGTTAGTCTTTCTTGTCCAGATTATTTTCGATGAGTTTAATTTATTTCAAGCAATACCAGGCTGCATTTTCTCATTTCTACGGCTATTGGAATGAGCCTTTCGGTCTTCTACATCGCTTGTACATTCTATATCTCATATATATATTTTGCTTTCGATATAGCTGGTAAAAGGAACACTGGCATTGTGACCCTTCAAAGTCGCGGGTTCCATTACGAAGTGTCATAACTCCTATAAATCAAGACCGAGTTCCGGAGCAGTTTAGTCAGTTTAACTTATTTACTCTAGTTAGGTTATTTTTGGCGGGTTTCATTTTACGAGGTTGTGTTGCTTACCCTACGCCGGACCCATCTCCACCTGAGATTGGGATCGGTAGTAATCCTAAAAGTGTTGCAAACGCAGTTATCTTCCTGATGGATAACGAATAAAAAGTATTTTGAAATGTTTAGCTAAAAGTGTCCAACTAGTGTTTTTCATATTGACAGTGAAAAAATCCTATGTTTATACAGCGATACCCCAGAGTGCCAGTTCTTAAGGGAACTAAGAAAACACTTTCGGTTCCCCATCTTCCCACTTTGAAAATTATCCACAAATTTCAATAGATTGATTAATTGAAAAAAACCAAACATAAGCGACTAACATATTATGGAAGTCCATGTACCGAAACACACCATTGTCTACTCAATGTTGTACTTTCTGGTTTGTAATTCAAATGACGATAACTACTAAGAAAAAATATTCTTGCTTCAATTAGCATTCAGACAAATTACATTCACAATCATTTGATAGCATTCATTTTCATTTTTTAATATACTACGTCACTTATCTATCCTCTTCTATTCTCACTTTGTGTATTCTTACTTTTCAACTTATACAACAGTTCGCCTGTGGTGGAAATCTGTTCTACCACCGACTACGAATACTGAAACAGTCTTTCTGAAACCATGTATGCAATTCAAACCAGTCTCCTTCAACGTTCGCACACTAAATGAGATCGGGCAACAGATAGGGTTGGCTGTCTTTAGAAAGTTTTAATATCGGCGTCTGATGTCTATCCGAGACCCTTATTCAAGACTCTACTAAAGTACTGCAAGTTCACTTTCCATCTGTCACTTCGAAGAGCTTGCTTCACGTGAGTTTATCTGGGGACCCTGTGGTATCTTCGTCTGGTTTTGCTGGCGTTGGTGTTTCATTAAGCGCTAGAGCTGAGGCAGCACTGAATGATTGGATTCCTAATGACAGTCGGTTATGTCCTGTTAAACTAGAAAGCTCCATCAAAGTGAGTAGAAATCAGTATAAGAAATGATGTGCTTTCGTCATCTCTGCATACACTCCGACATATTGCAAGCCGAATGCGATCAAAGATAAGTCCTACCACCTGTTAAGTGTTGTTCTGTAGAAAATACATCCGACAGATATTGTAGTACCAATGGGAAACTTGAAGGCACAGATCAGGTGTCTAGGCACGGAAGAGAGTTGGGTCGATGAGGACTTGTTGGTCGCAGGTCAGATAACGGTGACCATCTACTGCAACTGTGCGCAGATCACAACCTATTTCCGGCTAGAGCTAACTACTGGCACAGTCATCGCCGATGTGCCACTTGGCGTCCTCCCTCTGCATCTGAAGCCTGGACTCAGATTGATCACATCGCGATCAGCTATCGTTGGTGTGGGTGTGTACACGACTGCAGTCAGACTGTCTGTTTCAGTGTAGGACCAGGCACACATATGCATCGGTCCAAGTTGCCACACCTCATTAGCAATGCAAGACGAACACCAAATTCATAGTAGTTAATTCAGTGGTGGTAATATATATATGAAAGATTGTGTATCAGGATATCATACAGGAAGAAAGGTATAAAGCTATTTTAATCTCACTGTTTAAGAACAGACAAAGAATGTTTGCATCTACGCGATTGTGATCGATTCTGAGCTATGTCATCCAGAGTCTCCAACCGTTGGTTACGATAATTACACGGACCCCAACCAAATAGCCTGTATCTACCAACATGTCTCAGACTAGAATTTAGTGACTTCAAGAACTAATGCCACGTTTTGCTTTGGCCGCCCCTGACTTTCTTCCATCCCCAACCTACTTCAATGTTCCATTCAGGCTGTTTGAGCATAGTGGGTAGTTGTAGAGTAGCTGAAGGTCAGCTGAACTGCTCCTTAAAGTGTTTTGCCCATCGTTCTGAACATCTGGACCGGTGCAGGACTACTGCTCCTTTTGGAGTATCTATCTGTACTCTGACCATGCCCTTGTTTGTGGTAATCTTACCTTCGTCCTATACGGATCGATGTCAGTAAATTGGTTTCAGCTTCTGTTGCAACTAAATATCAAAGCGGGCTAGGTTCAAGGCTAGCTACCATTCCACCGAAAAGTATAGATGAGCATTGGTTGCAATTGCATGACGCCATCAAAATGGCGGGTACAGTCAGTTGTGGGTTCGCGAAACGTCCCGCTTATAAGCACTGGGTTTTTTTAGGCTCCTTACAGCTTGTTGAAGCTAGTCGGTCTACTCCGGGTGACCACGAATTTGTTCACAAATGAATACTGTTACACAATGAAATTGTGCAAAACTTGCGTAAGAACCAAGAAGCCTAGTGGTCGGAGTGTGTCAATGAGTTTGAAGCAGCAGTTGCATCTGGTAACTGCCGGATGTTCTTTCAACTCATCCGATTCACCGGCGTCAAGAGGTTTGGTGTGAGCCAAACAACCTGTAAAGATGAAGGGATGCCAATCACTAACATCTATCGACGTCTTGTACGATGGGCAGAATTTTTCGAAGGGCAGTTCGACTGGCCTGCTGCTTCGGCAACATCGGTCAGACTATCCTGCCCTCCATGGTCGATGACTACTGATCCACCAAATGAGGTGGAAGTCCGCAAGGAACTCCAACTCTTGAAGCGCTACAAATCACTGGGCCCAGATGACTTACCTCCTGCCCTTTCTAAAGATTGTGGTGACTTTCTGACTAAGGAACTGACGACGTTGTTTAAAAAGGTCTGGGAGCTAGAGAGTGTACCAACGTCATGGAATGAGTCGATAGTTGTCCCTATCTTTAATAAGGGTTCACATCGTTCCTGCAACAACTATCGGGGGGTAAGTCTACTTCCGATTGAGTTCAAGCTGTTGGCTTCCGTCATACTTCGTAGGTTGTTCAAAACCCGAGAATGATTGACTCGCGAGGAGCAGGCTGGGTTTCGTTCTGGTCGAGGATGTATTGATCATATCTTCACCCTGCACCAAATGTTAGAACACCGCCATACTTATCAAAGGCCAACAATCGTAGTGTTTCGTGACAGTAGGGCCGCCTTTGATTCATTGAAAAGGACTGTTCTCTGGGATTATCTTTTAAAGAAGTGTGTGCCTGAGAAGCATATTAACATCCTCAAAGCCCTATATACAAACACTTCAGGCAGAGTGAGGGCATACAACCACCTCTCTCCATTGTTCCATTCGAGCAGTGGGGTTAGGCAGGGTTGCCCGATCTCACCATTACTCTTCCAATTTGCCATCGACGACATTCTGGAAACAGCTCTGATGGATGTAAGTAATGGCGGTGTGGATCTGTTGCCTGGAGAAAGACTTCTCGACCTTACTGTGCGATAATGCCCAAGGCATGCAATCCGCACTTAATCAGTGTCCGTAGGTTTGGTATGTGCTTTGCACCTTCGAAGTGCAAAGTACTTCTACAAGACTGGCAGGATTCTAATCCTGTACTTACTCTGGATGGTGAACAGATAGAAGTAGTCGAGAAGTTCGTGTATCTGGGTAGCTGCATAAGTGCTGGTGGTGGCGTGAGTGATGAGATCGATTCACGTATAATGAAAGCCAGAGCGGCTTATGCCAATCTGGTCCACCTTTGGCGCCTTCTTGATGTCAGTCTGGCTGTAAAAGGTCGGATCTACAACGCGTCGACGATAGCAGTTTTGCTCCATGCTTGTGAAACCTGGCATTCAGTTACCTTGAACATAGTACTAGACAGAGGTTTGACCTCCTGATCCATTTGTTTAAAGTCTAGTACTAAAATCAATAACCCAACACTTTACTTCAATGGTTGTTCAGAAGTCTTTTACACTATGTCTTCTGTTCATAAGAAATAAATACGTGTCACTTCCAATTACTTATTTGCGATTCCATAAGCCGCTTATCCATCTTACTTTTCTACAACCTTGGGTTCGGTTTCGTGATTCTCTTGAGTGATTTTTATAACAAGTTACTATCATGCTATCTTTTATTTTTGGTGATTTTGATTCCTCAATACATCTAGTTCTTATTCTGCTGATGGGAAATTAGGTCATCCTCAGCTAATCTTTAAGTTTGCAGCGTTTGATCACTTATGGGTATGGTTGTTCAAAAATTAGATTGGTTGGAGAGGTTTTTGTTAATTTTTCTTGACTTTTCTCATTCGTAGTTTTTGATGGGAAGGCGTTTAATACCTATCAAGCAATTACGTGTCCGCACATAGAAACAATAAGCTCTTCATTTGATTGGATCCCTCAAGCTGTTCCCAGTCATTTGAGCAAATTACTTGCGCGTTTACATGGTGCCCCATTTGTGTGGTTCATTGGTCAGTTGGGTAAATTTTTAATGCGTCCATCGTTTAACTTCCCTGAAGAATTTAAAATATTCGACGATCAACATGAGAATCCAGTTGTTGGTATTCATGTCCGACGTACGGATAAAGTGAGTTTGTGTACTCTTATCATACAGTTTTTCATTTTCTTTTACTTAACTAGTGTGACGAAGTGATTATTTACGGTTAGATTTGTGAGTAAAATTACTAATTATAAAACATAACTCATGTCGATGCACAAGTTTCCCTAGCCATATTAAAGATATTTGACTACCGGAGAATTACTTCAATTTCATAGAACAAATCTAATCAGTGGTATACTAGAAAGGATTTAAACAATGTGGAGAGTTACGGTAAGGTAACTTAAATAGTATAGCAAACTGTGAACTGGGTGAAATAACTTTTACTGAGTAATATATCTTATTGGTTTACAGCAAACTGAAATAACAGCCGCATCATGGCAAAATGATAGTGGACAAAAAATATTAATCTGTTAAGTTTATTGACGATTTCTAACGAATTTTGAAATCGTTTGAGAATTGTTTCTTAGATGAAATGATTCATTTATTTGAACACATAAATATTGGTACAAAGGGGCAACGAATACATATGCGCTACACAAGTCACTTGATTTGTGTATGGGCTGTGATACTACCCGGGTGCCCAGACCGAAACAGGTGGTTTCCCTAGGAGGCCACGCCTCGAGCCTTCGACTTAAAGGTCTCATCCACAAGGCAGTGGAACAAAGTCAGGAGATGCAGTCGCATGGTAGCCGGTGGTCAATAATTGGTTCATACGTCATGAAATGAGAAATCAACTGTAAAGTCATTTAGATAACGAAGTGTTTGCTAGTTTTCTCTGCATTTTACGTGTATAAGTGATATTGCAAGGAAATCGGTTGAATGGTTAGTAGAATAATTTTTATCGTCCTCAACGTCGTGAAGAAGTATAAACAGCGAATAAACAGTGAGGTAACAAAATGATTATAATATAGGTTTATGAAATTTCGACAGGATGTGGGTAATTAAAGAAGCTCCGTAAAACTAATAAGCTAATATTGGGCTAAAATAAGAATGGATTTAGGTAATTTAAACGATTAAAGGTCCAGTTGGATTAGTCCCGAAAATCTTCAAGGATCGCAGCTCAGTTTTAACAGTTAGATTGAATAATATCTTAGCTAGAATTTTGGAACTGGACGTGATTCTATCTGATTGGTTTCAATCGCTAGTCGTCGCAGTTTACAAGAAAGGACAAAAACTATTTTGTGACAATCATCGAAGAATTAGTTTAACCAATATAGTGCCTAAAATATCAGCTTCAACTCTTAACCAAGGTTCGGAAAGAGCAAACCTGAAAAATTTAGTCTCGTTTCATACCTGAACATGGATTTATAGACTGAATACTTACTTTTTGGTAGGTTCTGGAACAAAAAATTACTTTTTGACGTCTGACTATGGTTGTATCCCTTGATATTAAGGCGGTATTCGACGCCGTTGGTCGTGAGTTTTTGTTGGAGTGTCTGTTATTGAAAGCCGTACCAAGGAAGTACATCAAGATTGTTCTGAGTCTCAACCTAAACGCTACTGGTCAAGTCGACTGTGATCAGAACTGATAATTTTAAGTGGTGTTTGTCAGGATTTTCCGCTTTTCTCATTTTTAATTACCTTCATCATAGACATTCTTTTGGAGATGACGCTCTCATCTAACGTTTTAGTTATTGATCTTTTACTAGGATATTTATTTGTTGACTTGGAATACGCAGATGGTATAGTTCTGTTTAGTGAAGACTGAAAAAATGCAGTCTCCTAACCGCCTTAAACAATAGTGAGAAATGTTGCTCCAGGATTGCTCTGCGACCGCTTCACTTATCATGAGAGTTTCATTAGTTTTATCCCGACCATGGTCGGGCTTGCCTATCGTGACGACCCAATTGAGCTATATTGGCTGGAACATATGTTGCTGTAGGTTCTACCATGCCAGGCAGGTCGATTGGAGAACGGTAAGACTAAAAGCAGCAACTCAAGGTCTGAGGGCGAAGTCGTACTGCTGACTGTAGAGGGTTGTGACAGCAGTAAGGTGTTTCCCTCGGACAACCAGCGTCTACAGCGATACCGCTTTCTCACAAGGAAGGAAGGGGTTAAAAAAGGTTGACCCTAAAAATGTCACACCTCACCTTACCTCACGGATTTCCGTCTCCGGCGGTAAGGCCCTTTGAAGAACGGAGCTAACACATTCAAAACCTCTCACGAAAAGGCCGTGCGCGACCGACTTCAAGCAGTTGTCCCGTGGGCTCTGCGGTCACGCTCCCAGGTCTTTTAGGCCAACGTTACTCCAACTTTCATGCAATTAGTTCCCTTTATGAATTTAAATAAAGCAAGAACAAATATTGATGCAGAATATTACGGATTCATAATATATACATATATTTCTTATCTCAATGTAAAATTCTATTACATATTTGGCTGTAAGCAGCTGACGAGAAACCTCGAAATATTATGAATTCATACTGTTCTGCATCAATGTTTGTTCTTGCTTTATTAATCAAACTTCCTTTTCAGGTTCCTCAAGAAATACCATTTCACGATGTTATATCCGAGCGAAGATTAAGTCACGAGTAACTTCTGAGACATATTAATTGACTAATATTATGGTATAACTATTCAATAATTAGATTATGTATATTTATATTCCCCTTATTATAAGCTTTATTTTGACCTATAATTTGTTATTGTACGATTTACTGTTCTTAAGCTATGTTCAGTTTATTGACTACTGTCTCCCACGTCCACAGCTACTTTTTGGCATTATTGTCTACAAATGTTATTTCTTATTTTATGGTGCGTTGCGGTCTGTTTGTTTGATATATAAATCCAGTATGTCTGAAATAAATGATTCGATTCGATTCATATTGTAAAAGCTGGAGTCAAGTAGACGGGCTAGGCGGACATAGGACCAATAAGGACGCTAGACCGTTCATACCGGTCAAACGTCATTGGTTTTGGCACAGTGTTAAGATTGTATAAGTCGTATTTTGATTGGTGGATAAACCACGTGATAAAAGTCGAACATAAGTCATAAAACACACGGTGTGGGCAGCCGGGAAGTGACATCAGCGCTCATACCCGTAACAACACACGAGGCCAAACTGGTCACATTCAAATCCTTCCTACACCTCCTAATACTGACCGACTCATGAGTTTTATTGGGCTGGTGTCTAACAATATCTACGCACGGATTCCAAATGCTCGACTGGTTTTTGACAACTTGTGTCACTTACATTGTAGGGGAGCTATCCTTTTGGCAACTAACGGGCGAGTTTACTGCTCAGCATTTCGATCCGTTTATCTGTGGGTGTGAAGTATGGCCATTAAAAATAGAGGATATTCTTAGGTTACTAGCATTCGATAGTAAATGTCTTTGAATTATTGCTCGTATGTTTTGAGACCACCGAATAAGGTGTTGGGGATAAGGAACTTGATAATGATGGGGAGTCAAGTGATGAAACAATAAATATCCACCGGTAAAGGTGGTTGTGACGTGTGTTACATATGGCCGCCCACTGTCAATCTCGACAGTGTCTGGTGTAGGAGTAGGTTGGAGGAAATCTAGTTGTGAACAGGTCACGACGTGACACTAGTCTGTGAAGTCATTGACAATTGGCCTAATCATGTAGGTAGATCTTGACTGCCTGTTTGGGTTCTACGTGATTATCGCAACCAACGGTTAAGGACTTTGAATGACATGACTCAAAATCTTTCGCAATTTCTGAAAGGCATCCATTCTTCATCTTCCCTTGGATTTCAAATTTCTAAATTCCACATAATTTTTTGTATTTCATCTCCATACATATATCTTGTTTTTTCTTACCTAATTTTTCTTAATATTGCTGGTACTGTTATTACTTCTAATACTCTGAGATTGATCTTGAAATAATTTTATCTCACTGTGCTAACGTGCTATGTCAACTTAAAGCGATTGACACATGTACCAGGTGCAACATTGTGTTTAGTTGTCTCACCTTCAGATTTTTCTTATTTTATTGAGTAATTCATGTAAGCAGCAATAAACCTTTCGGTCCTAGTATTAGGTGGTTAACATTTGACCTACTCGTTGGTAGATACCTTCTATAGTTCGTGAACAAGTTACTTTTTGTGAACCTTAATGAATATGAAAAAGCACTGTTTCGTCTAATCCTTTCGTGATTTATGTGAATAAATTATTAAGGTAACCCTTTTCTTAACCATTTCGTTTTTTTTGTACGATTTTAGATAAATACTGAAGCGAGTTTTCATAGTTTAGAAGAATATATGACTGAAGTTGAGAGCCATTTTCAATTCATAGATGCCAAACGTCAAATGATGTCTAGAACTGAAGTAAGTATTTAACTATTAATTTTCATGTATATTGTAACTGTTTTATTGTAACCAAGATTCATCGAGAAATGACTTCACCTTGTCCACTGGCCATCATGTGAATAGATCTACGAGTAAAGGCTTCGTAATAGTTTTTCTTAGCTAACCATTTTTTAAAATTCGGACATCACAACAGTGTTTCAGCTCATAAACTAATCATGATCGCTGCAAATAAAGTACATGACATATTCATTTTATAAGCTAACACACTCAAAGTCTAATAATCCTATTATAGGTCAATAATTACTATCTGAAATTACCTCAAGTCTCTGAGTTGTTTTAGTTAAATAATGTTTATATTTCTAGTTGTGAAGATTCAATCCACTCAGTTCGTCTCTGTCGTGAATTTTTTCTTTCCGAAACTGTACTGCTCAACAGTAATTGCTACCATATATTGGAGTAAAGCCTAATAAGAATCTAGTTAAAATCAGTGTTGTTCAGTTATATTTATTGCTCGCCAAATATGTAGACAGAAATTTCAACATTTTAACTAGCAGTGGATTAATAAATACGAGGACACAAAACTATTTTATCAAGTTAATGATTATTGATGTACTCTGTATCAGAGCTGGTAAACTTTTTCTTAAGTTATAGAAATTCTTTGACATGTGGATATACCTGACATGGTTTGTAATCAGTCACGTTTTCTGTGCATTGTGAAACGAGCAATGTATCCAGTGTTGGTTGACTTCTGATAATTTTATCTTGCATTTTTTATACAAAATCTTGTTGTTACATAATCTAGTAATTTTTATTTTGGTATAAAATAAGTTTCATAAATTCTTTCGATTAGGAGTGGAGAAATGACATCAAATCGCCGTTTCGTCATAATGTATATCACCAATTAAAACCAGTACAACGACGTGTGTATATAGCTACAGACGACCCTAGTGTATTTAATGAAACTAAATTAAAGTATCCCAACTATATATTTTATGGTAATCGCGGACGTGCTAATTCAGCTTCTGTCTTCAGACGAAAAAATGAAGATTCTATTATGGGTGTGGTAACTGACGTGTTCGCTTTATCAAGAACGAATTATTTAGTTTGCACTTTTTCTTCACAGGTAAGTTAAATTTCTTGTTTTGATGACGATCATGGCAACTTGTAATCCCTTGTCTATGATGTGAAATTCGAACCAGCTTTGTCTGAATGCCGATCATTTCTTGATCCTACGTTGATTATAACTGACTTAACTTCATAACCTTCGAGTTAGACTTTAATTTTGTGATGTTGCGAGCTGATAATTGTCTGAGTAACATAGATTTATGTATAAAGTGGATAAAAATCGGTTTGTTAAGCAATGTTTCATTCTAAGTAAATTCGAGATAAAATGTTGACTATCCTAGTGATTTGAAATCGATATACTACAGAACGTCTTTGAATATGTATTCGAAACGTTAACTTGATAAATAAGTGGGATTCGCTTGGATTCGGAAATTACTACTTCCTAGTTTCATTCAGTGTTACAACTTCTAATACATTTTGACATGTATGCATTTAGTTTCTAATGTGTCGGTCAAAATAAACAGATTTTACTGCCTAGTTATTTTGGACCTATCAGACCGGACTATAGGGCAGTAGAACAGTTGTACTGATCTAGTCCGAGCATCAACTAGTTAGCCTAAACTATAAATCTAGTACTAAGGACCGTCAGCTAACCATTGATATGCTGAATGTGAGATAACATCCAAGAGTAACTAGTTAATTATTGGCCCAGAACTCAGTTTCCCATGCTTGCTTGCCTGATAACCAAAATAGGGAACAACCCAACAACCAGATAGTATCTGATTATACGTTTCGAATCTATGAATACCTCTTATAATAATATAGAGCGAAATCGTGACCACACGTTAATAGAGTTAATGAATTACAATATGGGCACAACTGTGCCATAAATGGAAGAGAACTGAGTGGTAGGTCCTTCATAAATTAATTTTGATATAGGAAAGACGAAACAAGATCTTACAAGTGGGGAATACAAAAATGTGACGGTTAAACTATTTAAGAATTGAACAACAAAAAATGTCAACAATAACTTCATGTAGGATCGTTCCGAAAGTTCTCTTTCGTTTTATATTTATCCCGATATAGCAGTTTCATTGTAACTCACGATCTGTTGATTACTCCCACTGAACTAATTATTCATTGTTGATTTATAAGTTGTTTTTATAAATATCTTCACATTTTCTATGGAAGTTTATAAGCTAGAGGATCAACATGTAGTGGTTTCATACTGACAAAAAGTACCAAAGGTAAATTCCAAAGCTTGTTTACCTCGTATTATAAATAGTCGATTAGCCCCTAACACGATAAATGCAAAGTACTGAATTTCATTAATAGGCATTTATCTGTATATTATCAACAGTCATTTTTATAGCTATCCTTCCATTCATATTCTTGCTTTGTTCGTTTGTACTATTTAAACTTGGGTTTATTTAATTTGGTTATTTATTCTCTAAAGAATTGTCTTACACTGAGTCACGAAACTTCAGAAATTTAAGAACCCTATTTTTTTCTTACTCATAAGGGTATTACAAATATATTATTTTTATTAATAGCGATCTACTCAATCCTCAATTCATTTCACATGATCAAGTCAAACCATGGTATTGGCACCTATCCTCATTTCGTTCATTTATTTTAATAGTTTGGCTTTAATCTCCTTTCGATTTTACCCTATTCTTTCTTGTAACAGGTTTGTCGATTAGCTTACGAATTGATGCAGTCTAATCATTTAGAATTAGGTGATGCAAGTCAACAATTTCGTTCATTGGATGATATATATTACTTCGGTGGACAACAAGCCTCACCATATGAAGTATTAATATCAAGCAAAGAACATGGTTTATCTCCTGGTGATTTAGTCCACTTCCATGGTAATCATTGGAATGGTTACGCAAAGGTTGAAAAATTGAATACTAATCGTAAAGTAATGGCACCAGCATTTAAATTCTCTCCAAGATTAATAACTGCTCCTATGATCGGTGCACATGGAAATCGGTCTGAATTTATTATTGATTATAAATAATTGTATTTTTCTAAATAGGAAGATTATTTCGTTCATGTTTTTCTTCTTTCCTTTGTACCACTAACTTGCTGATTTATGGTTTTATATTTGAAAGACATCGAACCTCATTTTTTTATTGTAGCGTCGATGCTCTCAGCTAAAGACTTTACAGATCAAGTTGAAATTGATCTACATATATATGGCAAGTATTGTGGAGCGTATGCTTTTCTGACTTCATTGTATACACGCAAATGTTTATACACATATCCTGTGGTCTTGATGTGATATATATTGACTGCACAATTGTATGATTGGTGTTTGTTTGTTGTTGTTTTTTGTGTATCGTTTATTCCATGTGTTGTAGTGTAGTGTAGTGTGGTGTGTAATTTGTAAAATATGACATATCGAATGAATGAGTTATTGTTTGTTGCTTTAGATAGTGATGTGGAGTACCAACAACAGATAGCCTTTTATCTTTAGAAATATGCTTGAATGCAAATATCACCAAGTTCCACTGGTGGGATCCAAACAGTAATTATTTGACATTAAAAACGAAAAACATGTATTTGTAAAATGTCAGCGAATGAATTTGAAGTAATAGATCAAACGTTTCTCCTGGCAATCTGGTCCAATCCTTTCAAGGAATTATAATCAAGCATCAAATCTATCAAATAGAAATAGAAATAAGTACATAGTTCTCTGGTTAACTGTATGCTAAATAAGTCATCCAATCAACCTTAACAATGTTTATTTTAATGTGCAAGAGACATGTGGTGTGAAATGAAAAGTGTGTTAACCTAACAGATTGTGTGTATTCGTACGTGGTATGAGAAGAGATCTCATTCACTATATATTATTGCCTGTGATCGGTGAGTTTTTAAGAAACACATAAATATGATATAAATCAAAAATATGTCACAACATGCATAAAATGAAAATAAATAAACAAAATAAAAAATGACGGACAAACAGATGACCATCAGGACTCAATAACTAAGTGGATAACGTGATGGCTTTTGAAGCGAACGGTACTGGGTTCGAGTTCTATAGTGAACATCAACTCTAGCTGACAAGTCCCAAATAAGATGGAAGATGCGTCCTAGATTCCACTATCCGTCTTTGCTTAGAGTTAAGACAATCCGCACATGTGCCAGTAAGAGACTGATGAATTGCTGTCCTAAACAACAATGGGAAGATACAAGCAAACAACATCAAGTGAATTTGAAGGAATAAATGTTTGTGTCATTTTTATTTTTCTAGTTAATTGTTTAATATAAGACAACTGACTAGAACAGTTTGTATTTGTTGTTATTCAGAAAATGAATGGTGTATTAAATGAAATAGGGCGTTCAGGTTTACTTATCAGTTATTATTTTCCATGGAATAGCCAATTGTATTCCATCTCTCCTATTAGTACTATTTGGATTTGCCCATATATGTAGGGCTTCGACTATTAGTCTTTCTTTGTAAGAATTAAAACCTTTTCGAAGGATTGTGTCATTGAAATCAACTGTATGACCCTATTCTATTGAGTGTAATGCTATCGCTAATTTGTTTACAAGTGTTCTTTTTTAAAATCATCTGATGATTTGGGAATGCGCTTTTAGCATAGCTTGTGTTCCTTCTACCTGGACAGGTTAATTCTAAATATAAGTCTTTTCTTTCATAGATATTCTTGGATGTAATTTAGGTCCATCGTATACAAACATGAACCATATCATACAATAAACAAAGCTGATTGCACCTTTTATGTTATAAGAAAGTTTAAGAATAGGCAAACATGAATGTTTAAAAGCACCAGTTTGTTGCTAGATCAACTGATCAAATAAATTTATATTTGATGTCGGATATTCGAAGGAGTCAGTCAGCTACAACGTAGGACTAGGCACATATATGCATTGGTCCAAGTTGCCATACCTCATTAACACAACAAGATGGACACCGGATTCATAGAAGTATTTAATTCAGAGGTGGTAATATATAAAAGAAAGATTGCAATAAGGATACAGTACGGGAAGAAAGATATGAAGCGATTTTAATCTCTCAGTTTAAGGGAAGACAGAGAGTGTATACACCGACGCCATTGTGATAGATTCTGAGCCATATCACACAGTCTCCAATCATTGATTATGATAGTCACGCGGACCCCAACCATGTAGTCTGCATCTCCCAACATGGCCCAGACTAGAAGTTAATGACTTCAAGCACTGATCCCACGTTTTGATTTGGCCCCCTCTAACTTTCTTCCATCCATCCCCAACACTAGTCAGCATTGCGCGTCATGGTAATCAGTGTTCAGCCATACGCAACACGTGGCCCAACCATCTCAGACGATGAAGATTTGCAACCTAATCAACTGATTTGCCACCATTCCCTAATACCCTGAGTCTAACCTCACTATAACTTACCTGGTGATCCCAGGAGATGCGAGCAATATTTCAAGGACATCTGTGGTCAAATACTAGTAGCTTACGAGTATCTTCTACTCTTAATGGACATGTTTCGCTGCCGTAAATTAAAACAGCGAACTTCCGCGCAGTATACTCGTTTTTTTATTGATAGACGGATATCTCGCCTTCGCCATAGGTGACGTAAGTTGGCAAAAGCCAAATGGGCTTTTCGAATCCGTGCTGAGATTTCGTCAGACACCAACTCATTAGGGTTGATCAAACTTACAAGATAAGTGAAGTTGTTAATACGTTCGACTACTTCACTCCCTATCCTTAGTTCAGGTGTTGACGCAGACCAGTCGTGAAGCAGCAGCTTGCATTTAGAGGGAGAGAAGTGCATTCCAAACATTTTGGCATTGTTGCTCAGTGCTAATAAAATACTCAGTATTTAATCAGCGACTTTTTCTGCGTATTCTAAGTCGGTAAGTAGACCTCCTGGTAGAGATCAATGTCTTAAAATTCTGTCGACGAGCGTTATTTCCAGCAGTAGTTCTATGATGAAGTTCAACAAAAATGGAGAAAGTGGACAGCCTTGCTGGACACCACTTGAGGTTCGCCATAAGCTCTGACTCGACTAGTAGTGTTCGAGTGAAGAGCCTTCACAAGGTTTATGTACTTCTGAGGTACGCCTTTCAATGACAGACAGTGTCACAGAATCTCGCGGTCTGCGGGGTCAAATGCTGCCTTTAAGTCAAGAAAAACCACCATTGTCGGATACCGATAAGTATGCCTGTGTTCTAGAACCTGATGAATGGTGAATATGTGGTCGATGCACCCACGACCCAGACTCCGTGTGTCTTAATTCTCGTCAACTAAGTGTATGTCTACAACTTTCAGTGTGGCTACAAGTTTAAGTGACTTGGAATCGCTTGCAACGTAATCCGTAGAAGTCGATCGGCATTAAAAACTGGACGAGCACAACATTGGTTACTACTCAGTAGTTATCAATTTAGATATCTCGGTTCTCTATGATTTCAGTCACGTAGTATCCTACCGAGTGTTTGTGGAAAATTTATATGTGGTGAGATAAGCGGACAATCCTATCGATTATTATTTGAGGTAGACAGTTCTGGTGACAGGTCGCCGTAATCTTAAGCTTAACTAGTGTCTTAGTAGATAGCCTTCATTAGGTTTACATTCTATTTCAATATAAAATAGCTGCAATTCTTATTACTAACAAAATGTATCAGTTATCTATGGCTCCAGGGATCGTAGGTCATTTCAATACATACTCATTGGCTAAAATGCTACTATGCATGTTCCTACCTGTACGAGTATTGATTGAAGTAGAAGTACAAAATGTAGATTGGTAATTCACAACAGAAGAGAAACGTGATACTCTCAAGTTCCTTAAAACCCCTTACTGCCGATATAAATTATTATATGTATTTAAGTAGTAATGACTCCAGTGCAGAACAGATATATATTTGAATACGTACATTTCGTACAATCGTTGATCGGTACAGACAGTCAGAGAAACGCAGAGAAGGAAAAGGAGAGGTGTGTGAGTCAGTTCGATCTAACCAATTGTGAATCGATATTTATAATCAAAATAAAAATAAGCTAAAGACATACTGAGTAAGATTAGAAATGCGCACACATACGTTCATATAAAAGTAAGGTTGATACGCGAATAATTAACAAGGTCAAAATGTGACTCAATTTGCCTGTTCGGAAGTTAGAATAAGCTGTGTGGGCTTGATACAGCAACCGAACTGGAATATGAAGACCTCGACATCTGAGGGAAAGCATGGAATACAATGGACAGATCGGAATCAATTAGAAGATTTGGACTTGTAGATGAACCGGTCTTTCTATCCCATATACATCAAAAAATGCAGGTCAAGACAGACTGTAGCAGCAGCCTCTGCATCAATAGGCCTCAACATACACAAAGGAAATCGCGACATCCTCAAATACAACACGAAGAATACCAACCCAATCACAGTTGTTGGAGAAGCTGTGGAAGGTTTCACGTATCTGGGTAGCATCATCGATGAACGTGGAGGATCAAGCAATATCGAGGTTACAATTTTTAATACGAACGTCAAAACAGTTAGTTATATTGTAGGGAACTGAAACTTGGAGAGCTGCCAAACACTTCTCCAAAATGTACAAGTATTTATAAACGGTTGTCTACGCAAGATACTCAATGTTCATTGACTGGGTACAATCAGCAACAGACTACTGTGGGAGAGGACAAATCAGCTTCCAGCTGAAGAGGAAATCAGGAAAAGCAGTTGGAAGTAGATAGGACATACATTGAGGAAATCACCAAACTGCATTACGGGGCAAGCTGGAATCCTGAAGAGAAATGGAAAAGAGGAAGGCGAAAGAACACACTGCGTCGAGAATCGGAGGTATACATGAAAAGGATAAATAGCAACTGGAAACGATTGTTTAGAACAGGGTTGAATAGAGAGTGCTGATGAGCGGTCTATGCTTCTCCATGAGGGGTAACAGGCGTAAGTAAGCAAGTAGATAATACATACAATCGAAAATGGAGCAGTCTTTGACATGGTATTCTTATTCTTATGGTTTGACTCTTATTTCTCACATAAATAATGTGGAAACTTAGCATTTGATCGAATTACTTCTTGAAATATATTTTGCCGATAATATCATATGGTTAGAATGAACGTCATCTTCACATTATACACCATCTTATCAAATGTATTACTTCAGTCAAATATAAAATGATTCTATATTCATAATCCCATAACTTTTAAGTTTAGTAAGAATCCATAGAACTGGAAAATGCGTCATTTTTTCTGTGAAATAGATACTATTTAAGTTAATCTAACTTGTTTTTGAAATGTACACAATGAAAGGTCAAATAATGCGAATTAATGACCTTATTGATTAAGATCATGTACCGATTGATGTTAGACCATCATTGAAAACCTGAAAGCACTAGACCGTCGTTTCGTTCTATTGTAGGACTCCTCAGCAGTACGCATCCATGATCCTGCCACGCGAGATTCGAATATAGGTCCTATCAGTCTCGCGCGAGAACCTACTAGGCTACTGAGCCGGCATCCAACGGTGTTAATATCTAACCTGGATTCGAATCCCGCGAGCGAGATCGTGGATACACATTGCTGAGGACGAAAGGGTCGTCCAGTGCTTCCAGGTTTTCAGTGGTGGTTTAACACCAATCAGTTCATGATCGCAATCAATAATGATACTTCAGCTATGTTATAAAAATTTTAACTTGAAACTTTAGTTTGCTATTTGTTTTCTTGTTCGTAACTAAACATGTACATGTACAGATAAATATATCCTTGAACTTTTCAAACATTCCATTGTTAATCAATAAAAGTAAATGTACCAATGTGATTTTCACTGGATGGATGATAAATAAACAAACCGAACTATTTGATGCTTATGTCTATTGATTCACCCTTAGGTTGTTGTTTTGGAATGTTTAGAGTTTTAGTTTGTTCGTCTATTTGTTAGTTAGTAAACGTAAACATTACTACTCAATAATAATTGATAAATAAAAAGTAATTTATTGATATATATAGATTAAAGAACGTAATTTACTATAATGTATATACATATACTAAACAACGAAGTGTCAGTCAACTTTAACGTAGGACCAGGCACATTTTCACGTCGGTCCAAGTTGCCACACTTCATTAGCATAGCAAGATGAACACCAAATTCATAGAAGTAGTTAATTCAATGGTCGTAATAAATAAAACAAAGATCACATATAAGGATATAGTACAGGGAGTTAAGGTCTCAACAAGTACGGAGCTAACATGAAAATTACTCAAAGAAAGGTCGTGTGTGACCGGCCTCAAGCTGTTGTCTCTTAGTCAATGCGGACACGCTCTCAGGCCTCAGGGGAGTTGGAAAACCCTGATTCAAAACCAATGGTGCACATGGGCTCCAGGATCCTGTAGGGACAAATGGCGTATGAACCAAATGGTTACTAGCTACCGTGGGACTGTATCTCCTGACGTTGTTCCACTGCCTTGTGGATTAGACCTTTATTTAAATGTCTTGGGGTGTGTCCTTCTAAGGAAACCACCTACTTCGGATTGGGTGTCCAGGCAGTATTCCAGCCCTCTCACAGATCGAATGATTTGTGTGGCGCACATATATTTGGTGCCTCCTTGTACCAATATCTACGTTTTTAAATAAATAGTGTAAACACGCGGAACAGGTTTTCGATTTATATCAGCGTCAATCTCAGGCCACCAACAAGTCTGACGAGCAAGTGATTTTATTTTCTTCGCTCTGAGATAAGTGGAATGAAGGTCATCTAATACTGCAGATTGGATTGTAAGAGGCATTATTATTATTAGTATCCCTACCAAGTCTTCATCCGCTAAATGTCTTTACTTAGGATAGATATTTTAGTCGGTGAAAACAGTTTGAGGAAAGCCTGTCTATTTAAACTGTTAAGTGTTTCTTAGTATAGTCTTGTGTCTTAGTTTCCATGCAAGCTCTCTACTATAAACCAAGTCAAAAAGTGGGGACAATACTTTTTTAAAGTTAGGAATAAATTTGTAATAAAACTGAAGATTATCAGTACATGATCTAAGTGCTGAGAAACTCGCAGGTGACGGTGCTTGAGTCAATGTATCTAGTCGGCTCATATCACGTTTAATACCCTTAGCATCTACATTATAGACTAGGAAGTTGATAGAATTAAGTTTAAACTGACACTTTGATGAGTTTACGAACACATTTGTGTCACAAAAGTGTCCGAATAAATTTAAGAGACGTCCATTATGTAACCTAATATTTTCAACATGAACTATGATATCATTCTGATACTATTTAACACTATTAAGACTGGTGATAACGTGATTAACAACCTTCTGAAATATTTCACAGGAGAGACAATTAATAGGAATTGCAAGAATTTATATCTGAGCGACCCGAATGATGTAATAGTAGTAGTTAGTTCACTATAGATTTCATCCAATGAAATTTGCAAATACGCATCTTTCAGGTCTATTTGAAGAAAACAACTTGACCTTTGTAATTCCTTAAGAATATATTTAGTTTCTTCAGCGGCACTGTAGTAAACAGATACTCAAGAAGATGGGCTCTCCCTTTATTTCTAAGTGTACTAGGTGAATTTTTATACCTCCCATAGCCTTTGAGCAATGCAAGACAAGATCTTTGGTTAAGGTACTGTCAGAAATGCGTACTTTCGGCAACCTTGGGGTCTTTATTGCAAGCACATATGAGTTATACTCACTAACTAACAAAGTAACATTGACTAAACTACCCTCTTCTTTCCTCGCATAAGTGTTAACTGTAACAATAATAAGTAGCTGGTGACCAGTGATGCCAGTAATCGCACCACTTTTAGATTTTAAATGGACATTATCATAAAGAAACAATTAATTTATCTTAGAAATAATTGACTCCATCCAACCAGTATTAAAAATAAGTGTTAGCCATTAATTTCCACATTAAATGTGAACTACTTCTGCAAGCGGTGGTGAGTGACAATGAATCTATCCTCCTGTCCAAATCAGCTAGTCTTGATCAACCATCGTTCAGGGTTTTAGTAGTAAATGACTTGGAGCTTTGATAAGTTTTTTGTGTATGTTCAACCTTGCCACATTTACTATGACGTCCATAAAGAAATTGACATGAAATGCAAAGATAAAGCTTTCCATATAAAAGGCAGGATTCAATGCCCAAAGACGAATCGAAATGTTTTCCGAATTATTCACTTGTCTGAATGGATCGACACTGTTCTTGTTAGAAGTTTATACAGTGCAGAAAATCTATTCATATTCGATGATAAAACTTAATGTTGTCTCGTAACGCCATCACGAGGATCATTATTAACATCTTCATAAATAAAACAGAAGTCTTTAGTTATTTGAAAAGTTCAGGAAGAAATTTGTATAAGTTGCTTCTGTAGTTTAAAATGGTTTATACCAGCAATCAGGCGGTCACAAAGTTGAATATTCAGCTGTTCACCGAAATTACACTTAGAAGCTTTTATCTGAAGTTGTAGTGTGAAATCTTTAATAGTCTGATTCGGAGCACGAAATAATTTATTAACTATGCTCTTTCATGTGTTACGTGATAATGATATGTTAGTCACCTCTTTTGTTTGTTGAACGGAAGTAGAATAGATTCACTTGGTGTTGTTTTACTCGTATCTCCCCATTGTTATATAGGACTGCAATTGATCAGTCTCATATGGCATATGTGCATCCTGTGCGGATGCCTCGATATAGCCTTAAGTCATAAGCTTTTTAAGTAAAGATGGATAACGCGATAGCGTTTGGAGGGAACGAGGCTGGGTTCGAGTCCCGAGGTGAACATCAACTCTGGGATGCAGATTGAGTAACGCTTGACTAAAATGGAATTGGCTTCCCAGCCATCTTCCATACGTGTCATTTTGCTCTGCTCTTTTATTCGCTTCATATTCGAAATACATGTATTCTCAAGTCAAATCTCGTTATTCGACTTATTTAATTCCGTTATTGGATAATGCGATTTAAGTCGACGATAATATACGAGAATCAGCGATAGCAAACATTCATACAATCATTCGTACGCTCTAAATGGAGTCAGGTCAACGGGCACAAAAGAAGTATAAGCAGTAATCGGAAACATTGGGTTTGAAGATGTTATTCAAGGAGTATAATCCAGTGAAATAAATTTGGAAAGAAACAAAGGGGACATGAAGAATTCAGAAGATTAGAATTTAGGAGAACACAAAGAGTGGATGCACCTGCGCCATTGCAAACGATTTTGAGCCATGTCATTAAGGTCTCTAACCATCGGTTGCTATCATCTCGCAGTCCTCAACCAGGTAGTCTACACCTACCAACATAACTCAGTCCACTTCTCAGTGATTACATGGACTTGTGCCATGTTTTGGTCTGGCCGCCCCTAGCTTTCTTTCAACCTACTCCTACACCATAAGACATCGCACGTTGGAGCAGTCGGTGGTTGGGCAGACGTAAAATGTGTCCCAGCCATCTCAGCTGATAAAGTTTCACTACTTCATCAATTGATTTGCCATCCTTACCTAGTACCCGTTTCCTAACAACTGGATTACTTACTCAGTGGTACCAGGATATACGAGCAATGCTTCGAAGACACCTATGATCGAATACTAGAAACCTACGAATAACATGTGGTACTGAATGAAGTGACGATTACTACCACTATTAATATTATTACTACTATAGAAGCATAATGACAGGAAATAGAAACTTTCTGATGTAGGTACATTACGCGAAAGTGAATGAACTACACGAATAAACTCTGACAATGTTTCCATAGGTTGACTAATGTATGTTCCATTAAAGTTTGATATTATTTCACATTCTAATAAAATTACCAACTAATATAAGTGTAGTAACATATTTTATGCAACATATTTACAACGGGGGAACATAAATATGAATCACAGATAAATATCACTTACCGAATAAAACGTAACGAAACAAGTTCTGTCCAATTCCTTAGGTTACCTTTATCAATTTTGACAGTGTTATCCCAGTCCTAAAAAGAACAAACATAGAAATCTTCTTAATAGATAACAAACAATTAACGTGTACAATTGAGGAATAAGTTATGCTATCACAATAAAACCTGGAAGGTAACCATTTCAAATTAGACATAGAAATCTTAGAATGTTACATTATCGAAGCTTTCAGACTAGGATGGTGAATCAGAAACATTGACCGAAACGCCAAATGCATTGCCGTTTTGCACTGAGTAACAATTTACTTGCTACCTTTCATATAAAAACAACTCTTACGTCAAGGATAGTTTGGAAAATCACGAAGATGTAAAAAACAAATAACCATTCGGGACATTAATTCTCCTTGATTATTTTCTCTTCATGTACTGGTATAAATTGATGGATGAAGACTCCTGTTCCTATATCTGACTACATTTATAAATCTGGTGCCTTAGGGAGTTACTAGGTAACAAGAAGAATATGAAAATAATCACCATTAACTACCTTTGTCTCATGATTTGAATTAATTTTTTGTGTTACTAACTTGTTTATAGGAAACAGCTGATCATCAATATTCGAAATTCTTGTTTCCACAAACATGTGTGTACAGAATTTTGTGGCTAAAGTAATGATAGACTAAATAGGCCATACATATATATATATATATACATCATTCATAGAGCCAAAGAACTAGTCAGACTCTTTTCAGCTAGATTTACATGAGAACTGAGTTGTGTTTATTGAAATAAGGCAAAATATAGCTTAGCTTATGCTAAGGATAGTGCTCTTCAAACCCTTTTGTATCCTTCGTCATCAAAGGATCTCATCAAATTCTTGAATTATTTTTCTAAACTTGCTAAATGAAGAAGTTTCATTTTGCATTGGGAACTGTAGCAAACCGAAGTGATATATAAAGCCTAAAGCTCACGGAGAAAACCTAATCTTTGTATCACAAAAGTCTTTAAATGAAAATCAATTTAGCTAATGGGATTCTAAAGAGAAGACCATTGCTGATATTAACAGTCGAAACATTATTTTATAGTTCATTATTCTTAATCTAAGTAAACAATAAGCTCTTAAATCTAACCAATTTGATGTGTACGAACCACCATATCATTTAACATGGAATCAGTGACATGTACTTTCGTTCCAAAAACGTATGTCATAAAAACATCTTGAGAAAATACTAAACGAAGTATATTGTGGTAAGGACACAGACACCATAAGACCTGACACAATCATATATCTGTTCAAAATGCTAAACAGCACACCTACTTATTTGAGGAATCAACATGAGGGAAAAACAAAGAAATTAAAATGACACAGTAATGCAACAACCGGATGAAAGTAACAAGATAGTAGAATATTCAGAACTCAAAACAGGATCAACTAGAAGTATAAGTAAAAGGTATTTATTTTGAACCATACTACACAGTTTTCAATCACTTATTTCAATTGGCTTGTGAAAACTACCTAAAAGACCTACGCACTCTTACAAAACTCGCATTAAGTCAAAGACTTGATGGGTGCTGTCAGGATATTAATATCCTGGAACATTTCCCTGTATATTTGTACTTCAGTAAGCATGACATGTTGAGGTAATTGCTGGTTTCGCACATGGAATACATGTCCAAACTCTGATCTATGGAGAGTAAAAAAGCGCCGACAAGATTCCGTTGCCATAATTAACTTTTTATCACATTGATCTGTAATCAGGCCGCACCAACACATATATACTAAAACACAAATGTATCATACAACAAAAATAGGACTAACCATAGGATTGTAGACACGAAATGTTTGAATCAGAAGGCTTGGATACCGACGATGAGCGTACACCGTTGTACCGGAAGATACACATAGTTCATTCTGGAACAACCAATGACATAAAAAGATACTTATGTTGGATAATGTAGATAAAGCAATACTCGATAATGATATATATATATATATATATATATATATATATATATATATATGACTAAATAAGAGGACTGATAATATGGAACTAGCGTCCCTTTGATCCTGAAAATCTGATGTTCTGTTAATAAATTTTCGCTGAAAAGGTTTCCAAACAAAGTGAAATGATAACACTGAGAAGAAATGGAAGACAGAAAGGTTGTACAATCTATAAACAAGTGAACAAGGAAATTACTTAGTAAAAACAGTTCGATTAAGGAAGTAAACAAGACATATTCCGTTCGGTTACATCAAACGAACTATTATCACAATGCCTGTATACAATATTTCTAACTACATGATGATGCTGCTGAATGTGAGTTAACCTCCAAAGGCAACTCAACACAAGCGATGAGTTCAGACACAAGCTTTTAAAAGTTTAGAATGAGTACTCTTCATTTCAAAAGTGTGAAACACATAGATAACTACATACACCAATTACCAACTGATTATGTGCAATGTGGGTAGTCGATGAATTGTAGTAAATTATACTTACATTATTCTCGTGCTCAAAGTCTTTTTCCATGTGACAGATCTTTTATAGATGGTTCCAAAAGGTCATAGTAAAAATAAAGAAAAATGGTGAGATCGGGAAACCCTCTCTAGTCCTACTGCTGACTTTAAATAATGGAGACAGTTGATTTCGGGTTCTCACACTAATGTATTTTTGTAAAAAACCTTTAAAGTGTTAAACTTTTCAGGGACACTTTTTCTCAGTATACAAGCCCAAGACATACTCCCATTTAACGAATTGGAGTCCGAAATAAAGAACGATAAAGCGATGGTTGAAATCCAATGACTACAGCGATGCTTCATCATTCGTCGGAGGATGAAGATATGACTAATTATCCATAAGCTGAACAGAAACTGGCCTTCCTCATACGAATTAATCTGCCACAAACTATTCATAAATTATGTAGTGTGAAGTTGACGGCTTGGAAGTAGCATAGAGCAGACTTACACTTCAACATTGTTGTATAAATTGCTTCGTCTCAAAACGATGGAACAATCAGTTTGCCAATTATTTTAGCCTCCAGCCCTAGAAAGAGACGGCAGTGAGTCATCTGAATGCAGTGATGCCTCAGAATTCAGTCAGAGGTCTTAAGTGCTGTTAGAGATATGATGGCGGTTTTCACTCCCCGGTTGCGCACACCACAGAAGGGTTCTTCTAGAGGTAACTGAAAAGAAATTGGGTTAGGGTCGGTCATATTGATCTGACAGCGAGACCGCAGTGCTGCTTGAGGCGGTCACTTACGGCCTTTTTGTGAGTAATTATCCTGTTAGCTCCGTACTTGTTGAGACCTTACCGCCGGAGACGGATATTCGTGGGATAAGGCAAGGTGTGCATTTTTAGGGTCGGCCTTTTTTAACGCCAACCTTCCTTTGTGGGAAGGCAGCATCTCTGTTATGCTGGTTGTCTACAGTTAGCAGTATGACTTCACTCTCGGTCCTTGAGTTTGCTGCTTTTAGTCTTACCGCTGTTCAACAGACTTGTCTGGCATGGTAGAACCTCGAGGAACGACCTTCCAGCTAGTAAAGCTTGATTGTATCATCACGATAGGCAAACCCGACCACCACGTCAAGGTAGCAGCAACTGTTAGTTTGTTTTGAACCTAGGTTAGTCAGTCAAACACAACGTAGGACCCAGTACGTGTGTAGATCGTTTTCACTGGGTGGGTTATTAGTTGGAAGTCAAACTGCACAAATGTATAGTTGTTGCATAAGACGGGTTGAAATATTGCTCCAATTGCTGTATCCAGCGTTCAAGACAGTTCTAAGATTACTAACCAATATACCCTGAACCCAACAATATTTGATGCCCAAAATCAGTTTACACGACAATAGTACTTTCAAGAATCGAAAGGGCGTGCACACCGTTAATCTAAAACCGGAATTTTCCAACTACAGGTGAATCCTTTTATCTACCGTCCCAGTGCTAGACGTCTTCTCGGACTTTCACTTTAATGAAAACATCCATGCTAAGTGAATGTAGTAAAGATTCCCCTGGAAGCGACCGTAACTATGAGGCCGCATGAAGGCATTTTGAGACATGAAGTGGATGCTATTAACCCACTGTCACACTATAGCACTTAGAGGGTCATAACATTTTTCAGATTACGTTGCTCCAAAATGCCCTGGTATGGCCCAAAGTGAGGAGAGTTCGCTCTCCTCGAAACGCTCTCACATGGCCGCACGTACACAACCACTGTCACGCAAGTCCTACTCACCGCCTCCTTACGGGCTTATTGTTGTTTACGGGGTTGAGAGAACGGAAAGCGAATGTCTGTCGCCTTAACCGGGTTGGTAGATATGGAGGATCCACATAAGGGAGTTGAAACACCCTGACTCAAAACCAATGGTGCGCATGGGCTCCAGGATCCTGAAGTAACAAATGATGTATGAGCCAATTATTGGCCACAGGCCACCATGGGACTGCATCTCCTTACGTTGCTCCATTGCCTTGTAGATTAAACCTTTAAGTCGAAGGTCCCAGGCATAGCCCCCGTAAGAAAACCACCTATTTCGGTCTGATCACCTGAGCAGTATCACAGCCCACATATAAATCAAGTGAGTTGTGTGGTGCACATGTATTCGGTCCCTATTTGTACCAATATTTGTGTTCAAATAATAAAATTTAGATTACGTTAACTACGTTAGGAGCGTACATTCGAAAATGAAGAAGTCTACATGATTCAGAACACAGTATTTTATTTGCTACGCTTACACTAGATCTTACTTAAGTATATTAGATTATTGGTCTACTTTGCAAATCTGAAACGGATTAAAAGCACAATTTAACCTTCGTCAGTCGATATCTACAGATAATTAAAGTGATAATCAAAGAAATCTTACGTGAAGACAATGATTAAGGATTCAAATAATAACTGAAGTACTAGTTTTAGAATTAGAGACCGTAAACTATGAAATCATCGCGAGCTTCTCGAGGTACGTTCAGTTGACAGATGTGATCGAAAATAAATGCGTCAGATGAGAACATCTACGAAATTTGTACTATAGAACAATAACAGCGATAAGGTGAGCACCTGTGAAGTACACAAATAAGTGTACCATACAGTGTAACCGACCGCAGTATTTTGCTCAACAACAACTTGAGTCTAATATTTCAGATTTCCCTATACAATGAATGTCTGAATAAGAGTTTAACTAGGAAAATTAACAGATTAGTTGCACTTGACCCAATCGACACAAACGGTTTAAACATTTGAGTGGTGTACTTCTACTTTAGTCAGATACGTAGCAACATTGTTTATTACTTAGTTCAGTATTACCATCTGTTAAGCATGCCTATACACCTATATTGAATTATCTCATTTGAAGAAATTAGTTCTATTCGTGCTTCGAAAGAAGTATTTCTAGGACTACTAAGGATGTAGTCTAGTTTCTCTGCAAATTTCGAGCGGAAAATTGACACTTTCACATACCTAAAGACTGGAATTAAAGTTGGTTTTAGTGGTTTGTGACGCCTGATATACTCAGGAACCTATTAAGAATGAATTCTTATGTATATCAACAGTGATGGAGATACACAGTGATTCACCAGCTTGGTAATGACACTACTCTAGTATTGAAGACAGTTTCCAACCTTACCCAAAGTATGTAAGTAAACTCCTGTAACCATCTAAATGACACTAAAGCATCGGAAAACATGTGTATTGCTTGTGGCACATTCACTATTATTAGTTACTTAGAATATCATACAATTACGGTGTTCTTAGCTATGATTAGCTGACCTAGTCAGTAAATTCAATTGCATTGTGTAAAGTATCAAACTTTTATTCTACGTTTTCATTTATTCTGCAATTTTATAGATTCTTGTGTTGATTAGTCGGATAGCTATTATGAAATTATAACAATTAAAAATCGACAGATTGAAAGAAAATCTGAAATCGGTTTACTAACCTATCCTCTGTGTAATGTTACTAAGATATTTCTAACTTTTGATACAAAAACACAACTATTGGCCTGGGATGTGTAGGGGCACTTTAAAATTGGGGGAGGGGCGAATATATAATAAGAACACCTATGACCTGATGTGAAAACAGCCTGCTTCTGGAGAGTCAGTATTTCATGAGCTTTCGGTAAAGTATGGCAAAAGCCAATGGTTTGAACGTAATCGAAAGTATACTTATAACCTTGTAGTTGTTCTATAGAATACGTACAACTTTCCTAAAGGTGAAAACGATGATCGTTTAGTTCCAGAGTGTTGGAACACTATCTGTCTCCCGAAACAATTCAGTCATTTGCCTAGCCGAAAGTTCGTCACTATATTCATGAAGATCATGGATTAAGTCAACACGGCCAGGAAATTTGTGAGTTTCTAAAAGTTGGGGTATATTGTGGGTCCCTGATTTGTTAGATGGATCTACTGTCATAGATCAGGGGGGAAGGACCAACGTTAGTGAGGCAAAATACCAGTTGTGATGGCTCTCGTTAAGACTTCGGGACAGTTTTCGACGAAAGGAGACAAAAGTAGAGCAATTAAACAAGTTTAAGACACTTCAGTTGGAGAACATATGGAACTCAAAACAACTGTCTGCAAGCCAACATCAAAGTCAGAATCTTCAATACGAACGTCAAAACAGTTCTACTGTATGGAACTGAAACTTGGAGAACTACTACGAACATCATTAAAAAAGTACAAGCGTTTGTAAACAGTTGTCTACGAAAAATACTCAATGTTTGTTGGCCGGATACCAACAGCAACAACCTACTGTGGGAGACAACAAAACAGCTTCCAGCTGGAGAGGAAATTAGGAAAAGACGTTAGAATTCAATAAGACACTGAGAAAATCATCAAACTACATCATGAGACAAGCGCAAAATTGGAATCCTGCAGGAAGACCAAAGAACACACTTAATCGAGAATCGGAAGAAGTTGTCAAAGGGATGAATAGTAACTGGAAACAAATTGGAAGGATTGCGCAGGACAGAGTTGGATGGAGGATGATGGTGTGTGGCCTATGCTGCTTCACGAGGGGTAACAGGCGTAAGTAAGCATGCTACTTTGGGTCAGTAGGAAAATTCAGTTTAGCTTGCTAGAACAGTATGTCAATTAATAAAATCCAAAGTCTCAGGAAATCAAACGAAGCATATATTACATTTTGCTGGACTTTCAATGAGGGGTCCCGGTAATGGAAAATTAAGTGGTTACATAGTCAATCTAAAAATTTCAAATGGACTTCAGGTTTAGGTCAGCTTAGTCCTCAGAATGGGTATTCCTCGAATTATGTATAATGACCCGAAAAGTCTAAACTACAATTATTGCACAAAAATACACCTTTATTCATCCACTTACCACATGCTTGAAACAGCTCATTTTATGCATCAATCCGTCCCGGATATCAAGTAGTAGTGCTTCTAAGACATACTAAAATACTTTTTATAAGAACATACTGAAATTGACATATCCATGAACATCTAGTGTGATCAGTGCAGGTATCTTGGTGCCTTGAGATAAAAACCCGTTATTGTGAATCAATATGTTATTTTCTTGGAAAGAACAACCAATGAAACCATTCCCTACGTCAGGATTAGTAAAAATGAGTCAGCAACGAACCCGTAAATGTAAGAAGACTGCTCTGTGTGTTTTCCGGCTGAATTATAAATGCGTCTAGATCTTTTATTTTTTTTGCAAATGGTTTAAGGCGATCTGCAACACACTCGTGAGGTTCGTCTAACTACAATCAGGTTTGATTTAATATGTAATTACCAGTCTTTATAAATTCTGAAACAAACTCAGAAGGCGTCAGACACCATAGGAATATATACAGACAACAGAGAATAACCAAATATATTACAATCCTCCATCTATTATTTAAAAATCCTCATAAGCAACAAAGTGGGTATTACTTGTACAACAAAATTATTGTAGTTTTCATTCCTATCACAGAGAAAAGAGTGAAGTGTGTCTATATGAGTGCCAAGGTGTGACACTATCAGATGGCTGGTATTGCCTTAGGAGGAAGATACTCCTATGAGATCCAAATGTGTAGACACCACCCACTGAGTTGAAGACGCGTTAGGTATTAGTAGTGTATAACTTCGAATCCGTCACGACCTTATCCTATAACCAATACCTATAGGTCGAGGTTCAAATTCAAATGGTTCAAATGGTTGTGGACGGAATAGAAGAAGCTTTCACTTAACAGGCTTCCGTGTCTAGTAGCAGAAGATCACCAAATCCTCCAGGCAGGAACCTAGGTATCTTAACAATAAAAGAGATTGGTAAGTCATAGTATGATGCTGTCCTTGGTCCTTAAGAATAGGTCAAGTTGCCTCTTGAAGGACTCCTGAGAAGTCCCTTGGACTAGCTCGGCCGGCAGCGAATTCCAGCTTTTGACAACTCTTAAGGAGTAGAAGTTGTGTCTACATTCCGTTTTGCTATGTTGTGTCTCCAGTTTCTGGGTGTTACCCCTTAGGTTATTATTCGAACTGAGCTTAAGTAGGTGTTTAAGAGGATGTCCAGAAGTGTTAAAAATACTATAAGCCATTAAAAAATCGCCTCTAGGACGCCTATACTATAATGGGTAAAGGTCTATTGGATGGAGCCGTTCTTCGTAAGGTTTAAATTTGAGTCCTCGAACTGATTTCGTAACTCGCCGTTGGATACGCTCCAAAGTGACCTTGTCCTTTTGGAATGAGGGGAGAGTACTATGCTTCCGTACTCTAAATGGGGACGGATGAAACTATTGGAGATCGTGTGGAAAGTTCTTCCGTCAAACTGACCAAAAATGCGCATCAACGTTACCAGTGCAAGGTTTGCTCGGAAGGCATTTTTGTCACAGTTAGCGTAAGACTTTAAGTCATGGGGCACCAGGACTCCTAAATCTTTTTCGACTTGGGATACTACTAGAGAGGAGTTTCCTAAGTTGTAACTGTAGTTTGCGACATGTCGCAGATGGACTACTTTACACTTTGAAATGTTAAAGGTAAGTCCGTTATCGTCTGCCCAACTTTGAAGGCGAGTCAGATCCTCCTGAAGTGCCCGTATATCGTCTCGGTTGCGTATCTCTCTCCAAAGTTTCACGTCGTCGGCAAAAAGTAATAAATCTGACGTTACCTGTTGAGGAAGATCATTTATGTAGATCAAGAAGAGAAGAGGCCCTAGTACTGAGCCCTGGGGGACCCCACTAGGACATTCCATAGCCTGAGATAAAGTGAAATTAACCCTAACCTTAAAGTGTCGATTTTTTAGGTATGAAGTAAGCCAATCGATTAGGGGTGGTTTGATACCTAGACGTTTGAGCTTATTGATAAGACACAAGTGGTTAACCTTACCAAAAGCTTTTGAGAAATCAAGGTAAATGATATCAACCTTTCCCTTGCGATCGAGAATGCTTGTCCATCTGTCCATCGCAGTCAGCAGGTTGGTTATACAAGAGTAACCCTTCCTGAAACCATGCTGTTGGGGTGGGAAGAAATTTAAGGACAGTAGATAGTCGTTTAAACCGTCGTACATCAGGGACTCCATGAGTTTTGAAGGTAATGACAGAAGAGCCACCGGCCGATAACTTGAAGGTTCATTGCGTCGACCTCCTTTGAAAATTGGTGTGATGTGAGCCAACTTCCAATTTTCCGGTAGTTTGCCTCGCCTTAGCGAGTGTGTAAACATCACGCTGAGCGACGTTGCCAGGATTGAGGCTGCTTCCCTCAGTATGGCAGAATGGACCATATCCGGGCCAGGAGAAGTATCTAGTTTTAAAGGCTGCAATTTCCGGAACACCAAGTCAGCCCTTAGGTCCACTTCGGAAAGTCCTGTGGAATTGCAGAGGAAACTGTCGTCAGTAAAGTTGATGTCGGCCGGTTGAAATGTCTAAGAGTAATGTGCCGCCAGAAGGTTAGCGGCATCGCCATCGTTGTTGGTCGGGCCGTTAAGACCTAGCAGTTGAGAAACTCCTGTTTTGGCTTGACGAAGAGAGGCTGCATAACGGAATAGGCTTCTAGGGTTAGAGGCGAATTTGTCCATAAGCTTTGTTTGGTACTGAAGCCTGTCTTCTCTTATAGCCTTCGTGAATATGTTCCTTGTATGTTTATATTGCCTATACGCTCCATCGTTATTAGTGCGTTTGTATTCCGCCCAACAGTGCCGTTTGCGGCCTAGCAGGCGAAGGGTACGCTTCTTGATTACTGTAGGTGGCTTGCAGCCTTTGGGAAACGTTTGAGGAACTGAATGGTTTGTAGCACATAAGAGCGTGTGCAGTAAGTAGTCCCAATGACCGTCCACGTCGAGTTGAGGGTGAACATCCCAAACCACCTGTTGTAGATAGTCATGCAGAGCTGGCACATTCAGCCGTTTAAAATTCCAACGCAAATTATTGGTGGGATACCTTAGCTTAGTTTTGATGACAAAACTGAAGGCTATGACGGGATGATCGCTCTTTCCCAGAGGAGCCAGGATTGAGAGGTTGTCAACTAGGAATTCTTCGTTTGTGAATACACAGTCTAGGCGCGATGGTGCCTGACTGTTTCTCCAACGAGTTGCCGACCTCACATTTTCATATAAGCCCAAGTTATCGATGAGGTTGAAGAACCGAGCTTCAGTTGAGTTGTCGCCTCCAGTGTACGTGTGTTCCGCGAAGTTGACTCTAGGGAGATTAAAGTCCCCTAGAATCAGGATGTGTGTGAAACCGAGACGGATAGAGCGGGATAGTCCTTCCAGCATACGACTATCGTACTCGGTGTCGGCAGCTGGCTTCCTGTAAATGACTCCGACTAGACACCTGGAAGTACTAGACAATCTTACAGAGCACCATATGGATTCCTCAAGATTGTTAAACTCGAGGTTGTGAACTTGGTGCACCTCCAAGCAAGAGCTTATGTATATGGCTACTCCGCCCCCAATTCCTGTTTTTTCCGTCGTTGCGGAACAAAGTCATCCCAGGTAATGCTAACTCTTGGTCCGAGAACTGAGAAGATATCCAGGTTTAAGATATTCCTATCAGATGGGCCTTATTAGCGTTGCTAAGTTCACGTAATTCATCCAGTTTGTTTGGTAGACTCGCGGCGTTCATATATAAGCAGTTTATGCTTTCAATTTGGAACGCGTGAGCTTAGTCCTGTTTTTCTGTGTGAGCCTTACGTGAATGAACAGGTAGCCCACCTATATGAGGTTTTCCGAGGTGGTAGGCCCTGTCCTTTACACGTTTTTTATCATTTAGATAGTCCACAAGTGGAATGGTCAGCTCCAACTTGCCTTAGTGCTTGGTCCTAGCTTCGTATGGCCTATCCGGTTGCATGTGGATTCCAGGTGGCAATCGACGTCTGTTGGTACAAAATGCTTCCAGAATTGCAGCCGCCATGTGGGAGGATGGGAAGGTCATCTTCATTAGACGGGGTCTAGGATCACCATCCTTCTTGACTAGACTCGTCACATGCTGAGTTAGTAGGTGTTTGAGCCTCAAGGACTGTTTGATGAATTTCCGTTCCCTGATGTCAGAGTTTGGTTGAGTAGAGTAACACAAATCAGTTTATAACTTTGCACTGACATCTTGAAGTTAAAGTACTGTCTTATGTCTATGGTAGCGTTCATAGTTAAGCCATTTGATTGGACCAGTCTCAGTCAAAACGTTAGTATCACATATGAATGAGTGAACCCAATATCGCTCAATTGGTTCAAATGGTTGTGGACGGAATAGAAGCTTTCGCTTAAAGGACTTCCGTGTCTAATTGCACTGGATCGCCAATACCTCCAGGCAGGAACGTTGTTATATCGACGATAACAGAGGAAAAAAAGAAATTGGCAAATCATGGTAAGATATTATCCTTAGTCCTTAAGAATAGGTCAAGTTTTCACTTAAAGGACTCCTGGGAAATCTATGTCACGAGCTCATGTAAACAGATTCATTTCCTTCTGTTTCAGTAAAACTCCAGATCTAGACTTTCAACTGCCTTATTTTCAGTTAGTTTAGAAGCCATTTTTGGATTTGCACATCTTGTAACGTGTGTGTCTTTCTAATGAGGTAGGGTTTCTCAGACCCTTTGTCTACTCTACACTTATCTACTGTTACGAGGTACTTCTGAAGATCAAGTGGATCGTTTTTGTTCTTTACAGATCTCCACACCTTGGTATCGTTTCAGTAAATGATGGATAGTGAGCTGGCTCTGTCTAGGAGTCCATTAATCAAAGTAATGAAGAGGAATAAACCTGGAATTGTTTCTCGTGAGACTCCTGATTTTGAGATTGGTTAAGCGTTCCCGGTTTGAGAGAGAAATCTTCCAGGTTCGCAGATTTCTCTTCGGCCATAAACCCACAAAGACATTTCAGGTTAGCCTGTAATTTTGCTGCTAGCTCGATCTGGAAATATCTTTTATTAGTTCCTACTTTAACGCTGTATCTATCTATAAATCTCAAGAAAGAGCTACGGTCATAATCCTTTAAGCAAACTTTGCAGTCGTGACAGGCTCTCCGTTTCGTGTGTAGTGAACTTCTACCTTTTGCTCCTGCCGAAATCGTATTTTTCCAATTGTGTTTTTGGCTCGAGGTATAGTGTGCAAGATAACTGCCTGAACTATATTACTCACTATCTCTAAGTGGCCATCCATTATTAGACCACACCGTCAGGTTGACGTGGTGTGAACTGCGAACTCATAATACAGTACTATAACATAAATCTATTTATTAGCCCGCTAAATATCTGAGCGAATATTCTTCCATTTTCATTTATCTTATTTATTTAATGATCCTCCTTAAGAAGTATCTTATTTGTAAATATTATTATCATCATTACTGTGTGTAACGGGGCGTGATGAAAATGCTCCTTACGGCTGTGTGCTATGCATTGGTGCGATAAATCTGGGGGACATCATCGCCCATCTGAAGTGCCTTACTTCTAGACACATTAAATATGACTACCAGTTATTGGCGCTTGAGTGTGGACAT